CGGCGAGTCCGTCGCCCAGGCCTCCGGCGAGGGCTGCGGCGACGGCGGCGCCTTGGCCGCGGACGCGCCGTTGAAGCCCCAGCCGCTCGACGCCACCGACGGCGGAGCCGCGCGCGCGGCCGCGTCGGGCGCCGGCGTCGTCGTCGCGGCCCAGCCGGGCGACGCCGCCGCGGCGGCCGCCGCCGCGCCGGACCCGGACGCCCAGCGCGGCGACGCGGTCGTCGCCACGGGGGTCTCGGGCTCGAACTCTTCTTCTTGGTACGTAGAAGTCGCCTCGACGACCGCGACGGGCTCGAACTCTTCTTCGTCGTAGCGCTGGCTCGACTTCTCCACGAGCGTCGCCGGCGGCGCGTCACTGTCGAACGCCTCCGAATAGCCGCCCGCGGACGGCTCCGGCGCGGCGGGCGTCGGCTCCTCGACGGACACGGGCAGCTCGACGCTCGGCTGCGGCGACGGCGGTCGGCCCGCGTCGGCTCCAGCGCTAAAATCATCTGCGTAATCGTCGTTGGCGGGCTCGTCCGCAAAATCATCTTCGCCATAGTCGTCATCCGCCGGTGCGATGGCCGTCTCCGTCTCCGACCGCGGCCGCGCGGGCGCCGCTTCGACGTCGTTCTCGACGAAGCCCGACTCTACGCTCGGTTGACTCGCGAAGTCGTCGCCGTAGGATTGGGCGTCTCCGTCAGCGGCGGGCGCGTGCACGGCCATGGTCGAGGCGCGCCGCGCCTCGGCCGCCGCGGCATCCTTTTCAAAGCTATCGCCGCCCTCGAAGTCGTTGTCCTCGTAGACCCCGCCATCGGAGTTGTCGTCCGCTTCGGGAGGCGACGGCGACGCCGCGGCGGCCTCCTCGAACTCATCCTCGTACGCCTCGGCGTCGTCCGGCTTCGGCGGCGCGGGAGAAGCGACGTCGAAGTCATCGTCGGCGTAGTCCGCGTCGTCGGCCGGCGGCGCGACAGAGGGTCGCTCGGCGACGAAGTCCTCCGCGTAGGCATCCTCGTCCTCGGGCGAAAACGCCTGTTCCTCCTTCTCCGCGCCGAAGTCGTCGTCGTAGCCGTCGCCCTCGCTCGGTTCTCCGATGACCTCCTCCGTGGCGACGCGGCGCAACGACGGCACGTCTCCGTCAGCGTCGAAGCCGTCCTCCGAGTACGCGTCTCCGACCTCCTCGGTGTTCGCGCGCTTCAAGGGCGAGGCGTCGAAGTCCTCCAAGTACTCGTCGTCGTCGTCCTCGATGATGTCGTCGACGCTGCTCATGCTGGCGCAGACGCCGGAGCTGTGCGCCGCAGTTGTGCGCGTGGCGCCAGCAAAGCTTCGGCACTCGCGGCAGAGGTACGCGCGCCCGCAGCCGTCAGGAGCCGAAGTCGCGCGCGAGGTCGACGCCCGACCGCGCGCACGACCTCCCACGCGCAACTGGCTTGTCGGGAGCTGCCCAAGCACCAGAACGGCCGCCGCACAGCCGAGATACTTCAGTGTTGCTGCTCCTCCAGCCTGGCGGGCAGCCTCGCGCGTTCGAACCTCGCCGCCATGGCCGCACCGCCGCCGCTCGCGCCGCCGCCGCCGCCGCCGCCGCCGCCCATGGCGCCGCCAGCTCCGGAGCCGGAGCCGGCGCCCGTCGAGCCTGAGCCCGCCGACGACGGCTACAAGCTCGTCTGGAGTGATGAGTTCGACTACGAGGGCCTGCCCGACAGCCGCAAGTGGTCCTACCAGGTCGAGGCGAACAACTGGGTCCACGATCGCAACCACAACGAGCAGCAGTGGTACATGAGCGGGCGCAAGGAGAACTCGTACGTGAGCGACGGCACCCTGAAGATCACCGCGCGGCGGGAGGACTGGATCGGGAACCCGTTCACGAGCGCGCGCATCCGGACGCGCGGCAAGGGCGACTGGCTCTACGGCCGCATGGAGGTCCGCGCGAAGCTGCCCGCGGGCCGGCCCGGCATCTGGCCCGCGATCTGGCTCATGCCCACGGACCAGCGCTACGGCGGCTGGCCGCGGAGCGGCGAGGTCGACATCATGGAGTGCGTCGGCTGGGACCCGGGCGTCATCCACAACAGCGTGCACACGGGCGCGTTCAACCACCGCCTGAAGAGCCACAAACACGCGGTCATGCGCGTGCCGGACGCGCACGACGCCTTCCACGTCTACGCCGTCGAGTGGACGGAGGAATCCATTAAATACTTCATCGACGACGTCCAGACCTTCGAGTTCAAGAACACGAAGAGCGGCAGCAGCGACGAGTGGCCCTTCTCGCAGCGGTTTTACATCATCCTCAACGTCGCCGTGGGCGGCAACTGGGGCGCCGTCAAGGGCATCGACGCGGCCTGCCTGCCGACGACCATGGAGATCGACTACGTCCGCATGTACCAGCGCGGCGTCGCGGACACGGCGGGCACCGAGCTCCCGCCGCCGCCGCCCGCGGAGATCCCCGGCGGCCAGTTCGTGCCGCCGCCCGCGCCGCCGAAGCCGCCCGCGCCGCCGACGCCGCCGCCCGCGCCGACGCCGCCGCCCGCGCCCGAGCCCGCCGCCCCGCCCCCGTCCGCGTGAGGGCAGCGTTGAATCTAGGAGCCTTTAAGCTGAACGCAAAGGGAAGGACAAACACGACTACCGCTTCTTCTCGAGCTTCGTGCCCGTGATGAGGAGGAGGTCGATGACGAGGAGGCAGAGGTTGACGAAGAAGAGCCAGCCGATGCAGTCCCAGTACGTGTTGAAGTAGCGGTACGCCTGCTTCTGGCGCGAGAGGTCGAAGTAGGGCTCGCCCTCGTTGGGCCCCGAGGGGACCTCGTCGAAGGGGTCCACCGTCGTCGCGTAGAAGACGGCCTCGAGGAACCAGCGCGGCGCGGACATGGCGAAGATCCACTTGAGGTCCGGCTCCTCGCTCATGCTCTTGCCGCCGGCGCCGCTGAACATCTGCGACCAGAAGACGGACCAGGCGACGGCCGCGAGGCCGCAGGCCGTGTAGGGCAGCAGGAACGAGAGGAAGTAGCCCGAGCAGTAGCCGAAGATGTTGATGCCGAGGAAGTTGAGCAGCAGCTGGCCGTTCGGCATCGGCGAGTCGAAGCCGGAGATGAGCGCGGCCCAGATGGAGACGGCGGAGACGACGCAGAGCGGGACGTCCGCGACGACTTTCGCGAAGAAGTAGGCCGGCGTGTGGAGGCCCGCGGCGGCCTCGCGCCAGTACTGCGCCCTCTCGCAGCCGAACGTCGACGCGCTCGTCGACGCGCCCATGGCGACGACGATGAAGACGACGGCGCTGATCGCGGGGACGTAGGTGCTCTCCTGGAGGTTGAGGCACGCCGCCTGGAGCTCCGGGTACTGCTGCATGCACACGTCGGGGCTGTAGCCGCCGAGGACGTTGAGGCCGTCGCCGACGAGCGACGCCTGGGCAGCACAAGAGTGATTCAAAGTCGCTTCAACGTGAGTGTTCCGCGCGCGCGCGTTCCAGAAAAAGCATCCACGCTTCGAGACTGTTCCAAGAGATGATCGCTCGTCCAAAAATCAGCCGAAACGAGTCGAAAATGGCCGAGATCGGAGCCTTTGAAGTTGGGAATTTCGCTCTCTTGTGCTGCCCTGAGCGCCACGGCAAAGTAGAAGACGACGACGCCGAGGAAGAACGAATAAAAAGAGCCGTAGGCCTGGCGGCAGGCGCGCCGGAGGCAGAGCGCGAAGCAGGCCACGGGGCGACGGGCAGAACGCGCGCGCGACGTCGCGCGGGTAGTCCACAAAGTCCTCGCGGAGCACGTCCCTGGCCGTCGCTCTCCGCGATGGACCGCAGCATCTCCGAGAGCTCCGTCGCCGAGACGCTGTCGAGGCCCGACCTACCAGGCACGTTGGCGACGACTTTTCATCGTTTTCCCACCCGAAATCTCTCAGAAATCGTCGCAGCCGCAGGACGCCGGGCCCGACGTCGGCTCGTCGAGGAAGAGCACCTTGGGGTCCGCGACGAGCTCGAGGCCCACGTTGACGCGCTTGCGCTGGCCGCCGGAGACGCCGCGCTCGAACTCGTCGCCTGCGAGGGCGCGTAGGTTCGTAGGCTCCGGACGAGGCTACGTAGGCGCCAGAGGCTCGAGCCGAGGCTACGTAGCCTCGTAGGCGCCTACGTAGGCACCTACGGAACGACACCGCTCGTCGCCGATCTTCGAGTGCTGGATCTTCACCAGGTTGAGCTCGTAGAGGACCTTGATGACGAGCTCGCGCTTCTCGGCCTAAATTTTGTCGGGGCCGTCGGTTCGGGCGGCCCGGCGCCGCGAGCGGGGGCCCGGAGGCGAGGCGCTCGGCGCCCCCAACAATGCGCATCGACTCCCCGCGCCGTGAGAACCCAGCTCGCGGCGCCGGGCTGCCCGAACGAACCGAATCCCACCTCTCGAGAACCCAGCTCGCGGCGCCGGGCTGCCCGAACGAACCTCTCGGATTCCGCGAGCGCCATCGAAGCAAAGACGCGACGCCGCGCCGCGCGAGCGTCCAGGTCGCCGGGAGCCGCGTCATCGCGCTGAACTCCAAGTTCTCGAGGACCGTGAGCTGGCGGTGCATGATGTCCTCCTGGGGCACGAACGCGACGCGGCTGCTCCACTTGGCGAGCGACGCGCACTCCTCGCCGTTGACCTTGATAGGACGCGGGCGCGCGCAAGTTCATGATCGTCGTCTTGCCCGCGCCCGACGCGCCCATGATCGCCGTCGACGTGCCCGGGAGGAAGCAGCCCGACGGCCCCCGCATGATCGTCGTGCCGTCAGGGCAGAGGCCTACCGAGACCGATCAGGTGAGAACCTCTGGCCGCCTCCACGGAGCCCTCCTTGCAGTAGGAGCCCTCGGGGCACTTCTCCAGCGACGCGGGCGTCTCGCAGAAGTAGCCCTTGGGGCAGAACTTGGGCAGCGCCGTGTTCGCGCCGCACCAGAAGCCGTTGCCGCACGCGCACTGGTACGCGAAGACGTCCGCGTCGTGGCCCGCGACGACCTCGCAGTCGACGCCGCCGCGCCCGCTGGGCCACCAGGCCTCGGCGAAGTAGGCCGCGGCGTCTTCCGCCGTACCTGCGCGGGGTCGTGCGTTCATGGATGTGCAGGCGCGGCGACCTACCCGAGAAGCTGCCCGCAGGACAATAACTGCCCACGGCGCAGTCGAAGAGCGCCGCGCAGGCGTCCGTGAGCTTGTACACCGTGCCGTCGCCTTCGGCGACTGTTGACCAGGTGTTCTTGCTGCAGCTCATATCGTGGTGGTCGGTGCGGGCTGCCAGTTCGTGTGGGTGGACCAGACTGTCGGCAACAGGAAAGCGCAATCTTGGAGTTGGATGTTGAATTTCAACTTAAAAACGGGGTCGACCGCTGTGGCGAGTTCACACAACACGACCCACGCTTACTCCGCGAAGAAGTCGGGACCCGCGCGTCTGAGCAGGTCCCGGCCCGCGGCCGCGCCGAACTCGCGCGCGGCCGCGTCGCCGTCGCCGAGCTGGTCGGCTTCGACGGTGCTCGTCGTCGCCGCGCTCCTCGAGCCATCGGGCCGAGTCAGCCGCGCTCTCAGGAGCCACGCGGCGCCGTCGCGCGTCATCGCGGCCGACGTCGGCGGCCGCCCGGCGCCCGGCGACGCCGCGTCGGCGACGTCGAGCACCGCGCGCTCCGCCGTCGCGGCGATGCGCGCGTCGCGGTCGTCCGCGCGCGCGAGCAGGTCGCCGAGGGCGCCGCCGTCGCCGCGCGCGACGGCCCCGACGATGCCTTGCGCGGGCGCCGGGAGCATCTCGTCGAACGACAGGATCGCGTGGCGCCGGGCGTCGAGGAGCTCGAGCCGCTGGAGCCCCGCCGCGCCCAGGATGAGCGCGTCGACGTCGCCGCGGTCGAGCGTCTCGAGGCGCGCGTGGACGTTCCCGCGGACCGTGACGACGTCGAGGTCCGGCCGCGCGCACCGCAGCAGCGCCCGCCGGCGCTGCGACGCCGTGCCGACGCGCGCGCCCCGCGGCACGAGGTCCATGCTCGCGTAGCCGACCAGCGCGTCGGCGGCCGATTCCGTGCGCGGCAGGTGGCACGCGACGCGCAGGTCCCCGCGCCATCGGTTCGCCGGCGGCAGGTCCTTGAGCGAGTGGACCGCGACGTCGACGGCGCCGCTGCCGACGGCGTCGTCGAGCAGGCCCGTGAAGTCGACCGTCGGATCCAGGGCCAGCGGTAGTGGTGTGTTGTTGCGATACTCGCCGGTCGATGAGATGCGCACCAGTTCTGTCGTTAGTGCCGGATCAGCGCGTCGCAACGTCTCAGCGACGCGCTCCGCCTGCTTCACGGCTAGCGGCGACGGCCGCGTCGCGATTTTTACGTGCAGCGACGTTGCGCGGGAGAGGGTGTGTAGTAGGAGGAGGAGGCGCATGTTTTTGCTGCAGCTCATCGTCGGGCTGCTTCTCGTCTGGGCTGCCTCGTTTTTGTGTCGATGTTGCTGCGGCAACATTGTCCCGCGTCTGGCTCGAGCTCCGCGCGGCGCGCGCGCGCGTCGAGGGCCGCAGCGTCGGCGACGCGCTCCGCGCGCGCGAGCGGCGGGGCGGAGACGCGGGCCCGTCCACGGGGTTTCACAGCACACGAGTTCTTATTTCTTGGAGGTCGCGGGAGCCCTGAGGGTCGCGCGGGTCGCGCGGGTCGCGCGGTTTGGTCCGCGCGCGCGCGGGTGTTCTTGGGGCCGCCTAGCGGCGGGGGCGCTTGGCGGCCGGGGCGCCGCCGCCGCCGCCGCCGCCGCCGCCGCCGCCGCCGCCGCCCTTGCGCGCGCCGCCGCCGCCGCCGCCGCCTCCGCCGCCGCCGCCGCCGCCGTGGCCGCCCTGGCCGCCCTGGCCGCCGTGGCCGCCGTGGCCGCCCTGGCCGCCGCCGTCGCCGCCGTCCTGGGGCGCCGCGCCCGCGCCGGCGAGGTGGTCGAGGCCGTCGCCGATCGCCGCGGGCGCGCCGCCGAGCGCCGTGATCTCGATGCGCCGGAGCTGCAGGAGCTCGCGGAGCTGGAGGTCGAGCTCGACGAGGTTGAGCGAGTTGAGGCGGGTCGCGCGCGCCGACGCGTCCTCGGCGTCGAGCGTGATGAGCGCCGCGAGCACCGCGCAGAGGTGCGGCACGAAGATCGCCTTGGCCGCGTCGGGCAGCGCGTCGACCGCGACGCCGAAGCCGCCGACGAGCATGTCGTCGCACTCCAGCGACTCCCAGACCGTGAAGGCGTCGCCGAGGAAGGCGCGCTTGCACTTGACGCGGTTCTTGAGCAGCGCCTCGATGAGGGGCCACTCGGGCTGCACCTGGTAGTTCCGGTTCACGGACGCCGGGTAGCCGAGGACGTGGGCGCCGCCTTTGGAGCCGACGAAGATGAGGAAGTCGCCGGCCCGCGTGCGCGCGGTGGTCTGCCGGATGGCGTCGGTGTTGAGCGTCGACAGCGCCATTGCACCCCGCAGAGGCTGCGCTCTGTGGTTTGCGATGCCGGACCTCCGGGGAGGAGCTCGACGAGTGGCTGAGGCGCCACCGGAGCGTACCTCGTGATCTTGATTTTGATTGGTTGGAAAACCTCACCCTTCCATGTTGCATAGCAAGTAAGAAAAGTGAAGTTTTCCAGCCAATCAGAAACAAGATCACGAGGTACGCTCCGACGGCGGCTCGGAGCCAGCCATTCTCGTCGGAGAGCCCAAGCACACCTCGTAGGAGCTTGTTGCGCAGGAGTTTGCGCCGCTATGGTCTCTAGCCTCATCAAACGGCTCAGACGCAGGAAGAAAGGCAAGTCCGGTTACGAAGCAGAGCAAGCAAGTGCAGCGGCGAGGCTGACAGAGGAAAGACTGAAAGCGACGGGGGTCGTCGACGGGCGGACCGTGATCGGCCAGGCGGCATGGGCCGTGGACCACCCCCTCACTTCTTTCGGCGGCTGCATCTCCAACCAGACGCGCCGCGACCGCGTCGAAGACGCCTCGGCGCTGGCCAACGACAAGAGCTACGAGCTCATCGCCGCGACCGTGTCGGGCGGCGACGTCAAGGCCGCGGCGTTCGACGTCGCGGCGACCGGTGTCGCCGCCACCTTCGGCCAGGACCCGGTCAAGTTCGTCGACCTCGCCCGCGAGGGTAAGGCGTGCGCCGAGATCAAGGCCAAGGAGACCAAGGCGTACCTCGACGCGACGGTCGACGAGCCGCTGCCGAAGCGGCGGACGACCAAGGGCGAGAAGCGGGCCAGCTCGCGGGCCTACCACAAGGAATGGAAGGCGCGCGGCGGCTGCGGCGAGAAAGACCAGGACGAGGACCAGAACATCCTGGATATGTCGACCCGGAACCACAAGCAGTACCAGCGACAGCGGGCGCGCCGCGACGTGCTGCTGAAGCAGGGCTACGTGCCCCAATTCCCCGTCCACGAGCGCGCCGCGCACAACGTGGATCTCCCGAGCAAGCCTTCCCTCGGCCGCTGTACGTACGCCACGGGCGCCGACCAAATCCGGCCGTGGACGCGCATCAAGGTCCAAGTCGCGAAGAAGGACGGCAACAAGCGGCTCATGGGCGGCGAGCAGAAATTCAAGAAGCTGAAGAAGGAGTCGATCTTCCTCAAGAACGACGTCGCGGGGTCGCCCGACGAGGGCCGGAGCTTCTGGAACTCGGAGGAGGCCGCGTCGGCGGCCTTCCACGCGTACTTCGCGGGCTGCGGCGTCTAGGCGCGCGCGCCATCCTCCCCCGCCCGATCCCTGCGCACCAAGCAGCGCGGGACGCGCGATAGCGGTAACATGTGCCACTGTGACTCCTTACTTCACCCCTCGAAAATCAGGAGCGCGTCGTCGCAGGCGTCGCCGGCGTCGCGTCGACGGTCTGCGTCGACGGCGCGCCGTCGTCGCGCCTTCGGCGTCCGCGCGACGTCCACGTCGACCGTCGCCGCGACGTCGTCGCACGCCGACCGCGTCGCGACGCCGCGCGGCGCGCGGCGGACGCGTCGAAGCGCTCCGCGGGCCCGCGACGCCGTTCTCCTTGAAGACGACGGCGTACCCGACGGCCGCGAGCCGCTAGCCCCGCGCGAGCGCATCGACGCCGCCGTGGTCCAGCGCGTCGAGGTGCGCGTGCATCGTGTACCGCGACGACGTCGAGGTCCGGCCGCACGCTCCGAAGCGGCGGCCGCCGGCGCCGCGTTCCAGCCGACGGGGTGCGCGGCGGCCACGAGGCGCTAGCCCCGCGCGAGCGCGGCGGCGCCGCAGCGCACGGGGTCGACGGGGCGCGTGCGCGTCGCCGTAGGGGAGCGACGCGTTCGTGCCGCCGCCGCAGCGCGTGCGCCGGTCGCGGCCCGCGCGCGCGTCCCAGCCGACGCCGTGCGCGGCGGCCGCGAGGCGCTCGCTCTGCGCGAGCACGTCGATGTCGTGGTCCAGCGCCTCGAGGCGCGCGTGGACGGCGGACCGCGACGACGTCCTCGAGGTCCAAACTCGCGCACCGAAGCGGAGCCCGCCGGCGCGGCGACGGCGTGCGCCGCTGCGCGACGGTCGTGCGGAGCCGCTAGCCCCGCGCGATCGTGTCGACGTCGCCGTGGTCCAGCGCCTCGAGGCGCGCGTGCACCGTGTACCGCGACGACGCCCTCGAGGTCCGGCCGCGTGCTCCGAAGCAGCGCCCGGCGCACGGCGACGGCGTGCGCTGTTGCGCGCAGACGCTACTGGGCGCCAGTGCTTCGCACGGACCCGTGAGTTGGCGCGCGTCGGAGGCACACAATGCAGCGTGCGGCATCGGGTAGCGGCGTCGCGTCGAACCGCTCGGCCTGTGTGAGTGTGGCATTTCTTCTCAACGCGAGGGCAAGGTCGCTGTGTTGACATGATACGATCCATCCAGCCCGGCCCAAATTCGACGACGCCACTGCGATAGGAGTGCCCGCGCGGCGTCGGAGGCAGCCCCGCGCCGGCCCCCGGGACCGTCGGGCCCCACCGGCCGTCCGCGGCGCGGCGCGGCGCCGTCGCGGACCGCCAGATGGCGGTCGACGAGACGCAGTCGTCGAGCCGGCGGGCGGCGGCCGGCGCGGACGATGACGATCGCGCGCTGCTCAAATCGCGGGACACGGAGGAGACGCCGCTCGAGGGCGTCCCCCACGCCGTGCCGCGGCCCTACCGGCGAATCACGACGCTCGCGCTCTGCGTGTCGATGACGCTCGCGGTCGTGGGCGTCCGGCGAATGAGTTTGCGGCCCGCGGCGGGCGTCGCGTCGTTGGCCGCGCGGCCGGGAGCGGTGACGCCGGCCGCGCAGTCGGGCACGACGTCGCGGTCGAAGCTGTCGGGCGCGGCGTCGCTCGAGGCGCAGTCGGGCGCGATGACGCCGACGAAGCTGTCGGAGCTCTCCGGCGTGGCGGCGCTGTCGAAGAAGGAGAGCTCGAAGGAGAAGAAGAGCGTCCGCGAGGACGACGACGACTTCCACGCGTCGAAGAAGGAGTCCTTCTCGACGTACTCGTACTCCTACGGCGGCGACATGGCGCTGCTCGAGCCGGAGGACGACGCCCCGAGTTTCTCCCACCCACCGCGGGATCTCGGGGACGACTTCCCGAACACCCCGGCGCCCTCGGTCACGATGTCGCCCACGACGCTATTGCCGTACCCGCAACCGACGCTCACCTATCGGCCTACCGGGCTCCCGAGCAGCGCGATGCCGACGTCGGCCTCGCCCAGCGGCATGCCCGTGCAGCGGCCCACGCCCGCGCCCAGCGAGGAGCCGTCGTTCGTGCCCACGTCGGCGCCCACGATCGTGCCCTCGCCGAAGCCCTCCCGGAGGCCCACGGACCGGCCGACGACCGCGACTCCCTCGTACGCTCCTTCGGACTACCCGACGCACGTGCCGACGTTGAAGCCGTGCGTTCGCGGTGTCTCGCACGTCCGACGACGTGTGCATGAGTTCACCCCTCGCAGGTCCGAGTACCCGACGGACATCCCGACGCCCCGCCCGACGGGCGACCCGTCGGTGTGTCCCTCGTACGTGCCGACGCCGCTTCCCATCCCGAGCCCGACGTCGGGCCCGAGCGGAGCCCCGAGCTACGTGCCCACTCGGCGTCCGAGGAGTTCCTCGTGTCCGGGAAGTCCAACACGACGTCGTAGGTTCCGACGCCGCTCCCGATTCCGGGGCCCACCGGCGCGCCGAGCCGCCCGCCGACAGCTGTGCCGCTTCCGAGGCCTACACACAAGCCGACCGGTGGCCCGTCGACGCCCCCATCACCCTCGCCGAGCTCTGATCCGTCGCACGCCCCGAGCTACTCCCCGACGCATCCGCCGTCGCCGCTTCCGACGCCGCGGCCAACCGACGGGCCCTCGGCCTACCCGTCGACGCCGCCGTCCTACGCGCCGACGCCAGCCCCAACGATGAAACCGACGGGCGGGCCGTCGATCGACCCCTCGTTTGTCCCGACGCCGCTCCCGTCCTTCAGCCCCTCTTACGCGCCCACGTTGGAGCCCACGAGGCGGCCGAGGCCCGATCCGACAGCGGCTCCTACCGTCCGGCCCAGCGTCCGTCGCCTGGACCTCGAAGAGGTCCGACCCTTCCGCTCTTCACAGGTGCCGCCGACGCCATTGCCATCGTACCGGCCGACGACGTCCGCTCCGACGACGCCGCCTTCGCCTGCGCCGTCGGCGACGCCCACAACGGCCAGCCCGACGGGCATCCCGACGCCTCGGCCGACGCGTCGGCCCACAAAGCTGCCGACGCCGGTGCCGTCGACGGCCACGCCGTCCGCGGCGCCCACGGCGACGTGGCATCCGTCGTCGTCGACCCCATCGCTCGAGCCCACGTACGTGCCGACGACCTACCCGTCGGCGTCGGCGTGCAAATCAAATCTTCAATGTGAGCGTACGCGACGGTTTCGACGCAAGATCTTCAGCCGTGCGTCGAGAACTCGACGAGAGCAATCGATTCGTCCAAAAATCGGCTGAATCGACTTCGATTTGACCGAGCCAGAGATTTCTGAAGTTCGGGCCCGACGTCGCAGCACACAGGTCCGCGTACCCCACGCCGAACCCGACGCGGAGGCCGACGAAGCTGCCGACGTCGGCCCCCACGCTGACGCCGACCACGGCGAGCCCGTCGGCCGCTCCCACTCTGGCGCCGACGTACGCGCCGTCGCTCTCGCCGAGCGCGTCCATTCCGACGCCGAGCCCGAGCCCGCCGCCGTCGCTCGCGCCGGAGCCCGCGCCGACGCCTTCGCCGTCCGCCTCCAGCGTCCATCGCCAGCCGTTCCCCCCCTCCCCTGACTTCGTCTTCCGCAGGTCGACGCCGCCGTCGTACACGCCGACCCCGGCCCCCGAGCCAGCTCCGACGGCTGCCCCGTCGTACACTCCGACGAGCGTGCCCTCCACGGCGAGCCCATCGGCGAACCCGACCGCGCACATGCCCACGCCCGCGCCGTCGACACTCCCGACTTCGTCGCCGTACTACATCGGCGAGGTCGGCACGGCCATCACGCTCTGCATGGGCTGCTCGGAGCTGCGTGGAAATCAAATCTTCAACTCGACTTCAATGTGAGCGTAATTGAACGAATTGCGCCAGACTCTTCGGCTGCGCTTCGAGAACTCGACGAGAGCAATCGATTCGTCCAAAAATCAGCCGAATCGACTTCGATTTGGCCGAGCGAGAGAATTTCAAAGTTTGGTCGGGACGTCCCAAACCAGTGGTTGATTTCCACACAGGCTCGGAGTCCACGGACCCCGTCGGGCGGAGGACGACGGCCATCGCCGACGCGAACATCGGCGCGCCCCCGGGCATCGACGACGACGACGGCGAGGACACCATCGAGTACTTGGAAGCCCACTTCGTCGAGGCGCTCGAGCAGGGCGACGTGCTCGACGCGCTGGCCTGGACGATGGGCACCTGCTTGAACGGCGCCTCCCCGCGCCTTCGAACCCTTCAACTCGAGAGACGGCTCCGTCGCGTCTCGCCGGCCCTGGGCCGGTGGCGACGGCGCGGAGCTCGCGAGCCGCCCGACGACGGAGAGGCGTCCGATCGAACGCTCCACTTCAACGCGAGCGTCGCGTCTCGCGGGCCCGCGCCGACGCCGCCGCCCGAGAGGTCTGGTCCGCCAGCGCCCTGGGCCGGTGGCGACGGCGCGGAGCTCGCGAGCCGCGTCGCGAGGCGGCCGACGGCGGAGAGGCGCCAGACGGCGGAGAGGCGCCCTTCGAACCGGCTCCACTTCAACACGAGTGATCGCCGCGGGCTCCGGAACGCCGCCGTCGAGCGCCGCCGTCGAGCGCCGCGACGCCTACCTCGATTCACCCATCTCTCGAACAGGCACGTACAGCGCGGACACGATCAGCGTCACGAGCGTCGAGAAGATCGAATCTCCCGACGACGACGACACCCGAGCGCGCATCGACTTCTCCTTCAACATCTACAACACGCAGACCATGTCGCCGGGCGGCGTCGAGGACATGCTCAAGCACGTCATCAAGACGCTCAAGACCTCCTTGATCACGGGCGACTTCCAGGCCGCGTGGGAGAAGTCCATCGTCGAGGTCTTCCACCCCAGGGTGTTCTCCGCGTTGACGGGCAAGGAGGTGGCGGCACTCATCGCGACCTCGAGCAGCATCGCTTTGATCGACAAGCTGTCGAGCGTCGAGGAGGTGACGTTCAAGCACTACGAGAAGCCATCGCCACTTCCGACGAGCAACCCGACCATCTCCGCGTTGCCGACGTACGAGCCGACGGTGAAGCCGAGTGACGCGCCCACGCCATATCCGTCGCCAAGGCCCAGCTACCATCCGTCGCTGCCCGCGTCCGTGACGATTTTCGAGAGCTTTTGACCGGGAAAACGATACGCTCTATAGGTCACGCGTGCCGACGGGCGTGCCGACGCTGAAGCCGAGCGACTTCCCGACATTGCCTCCCAGCTCGTTACCGTTCCCGTCTCCGACGGCCGCGCCGAGCTCGCTTCCCACCACACCGAAGCCCAGTCACGGCCCGTCGCCGCGACCAACGCCCCGTCCGACTGCCGCGCCCGTCACGTACGGACCCACGACGCCACAGCCCTCGTCATCACCGAGCGTGTCGCCGGCGCCGTCGAAGCCGCCGACGAGGACCCAAACCTACAACCCGACGTTGCCGCAGCCGACCTTGAGCCCGGCACCGACCAGAGTCCCGCGACGGTTTTCTAGAGATTTTTACCGACGAAATTCATCGAAACGCGTCATAGGCGCCGACGTCCTGCCCGTCGACGGTATCCCCGACGACGTCGCCCGCGCCGACGATCACGCCCGCGCCCAGCGACACGCACGTCCCGACGGCGCCGACGCGGCTACCCGTGCCGGCGCCGTCGTACAGACCCTCGAGTTTGCCCACGCCGGGACCGTCGGCCTTGCCGATACCAGCGCCATCGTACGAGCCATCTCAACGGCCGTCAGGCACCAACCAGCGTCCCGCGACGGTTTTCGAGAGATTTTTACCGACGAGAACGAATTTCACATCGCGTCATAGGCGTACCTATACCGGTGCCGACGCCAGCACCGACGGCGAAGCCAATCGTGCATCCGACGATGAAGCCCGTCACCATTCACCCGACCGACGGCTACATCTACTAGCCCTCCCGACCTTCCCCGCCCCGTCGACCGGCAGCGCGCGGCGTGTAATATCATTCCGCGCTACGCCCCCCTCGTCACGACGGGCGTCCAGGGCGGCGTCGCCGAGGCGTCGGTGTCGTCCCGGGCGGCGTCGCGGAGGCGTCGGTGTCGTCCCGGGCGGCGTCGCGGAGGCGTCGGTGTCGTCCCGGGCGGCGTCGCCGAGGCGTCGGGGTCGTCCAGGGCGATGTCGCCGCCGAGGCGTCGGGGTCGTTCAGGGCGATGTTCGAGTCGCCGCCGAGGCGTCGGGGGCGTCCAGGGCGGCGTCGCCGAGGCGCCGGCGGGCGCGTACTTGGACGCCGTCGTCTTCGACACAGATGACCGTGACGAGGCCGTCAAAACAAAGATCCTAGAGCATCAACTTACCCACGCAAAGTGCCCGCAGCCGCCCTTGTCGCGCCAGTAGCGGCAGGACAGGAACGCGCGGCCGTAGTTCTTCGCGCCGGCCTTCTCGACGACGCGGCGGACGCAGGGGAGCGCGTGGCCGCGGCACTCGACGTCGCGCACGTTGTCGCCGCGGTCCGGCTCGCGCTGGCCGTTGTTCGCGGCCCAGTCCTGGGCCTTGTGCCGCGCCTGGGCGCCCGGCCGCGCGCGCCTCTTCGTGCCCTCGGAACTGGCGCCGGCGGCGTGCGAGAAGCGGCACTTGTCGCCGCGCGTGCACTGGCCGCGCGCAAAGTGCTCGCAGACGCGCGCGGACGTCGCCGCCGCAACAGGTGCCGCCGCGGTGGGCGCGGCCGCGGTGGGTGCGGCCACAGGCGCCGCCGCCGCGGTGGGCGCCGCCGCCGCCGCTCGTTTGGCGTGCTCCTCGGCGCGCTCGCGCTGCTTCTTGCCGCCGCGCTTCCGCTTCGCGGGCTCCTGGTCGCCGCCCCACGCTTCGAGAGCGCTCTTCAGGTCTTGTCCCGCCGCGGGCGCCGCCGCCGCCGTCACAGGAGCCGCCGCAACGGGTGCTACAACGGGCGCCGCCGCCGCAACAGGCGCTGCCGCAACAGGCGCTTCTTTCTGGCGTTTGGCGTGCTCCTCGGCGCGCTCGCGCTGTTTCTTTCCGCCTCGTTTCCGCTTTTGTGGCTGCTGGTCGCTCCCCCACGCTTCCAAAGCTGCTTTCAGGTCTGTCATTGTGTCCGAACGCGTCGACAGCGCCAGACTCGAGCGTGTCGCCCGAATGCGCTTCAAGAATCTGGTTGCTTGAAGTGCTACGGGCTGCCATCGATGGGCGGCCGCCGAGAGCGCACTCACAGCAGCCTAAGCTGAAGTGAGTGGGTGAAGTGCTCGGGGCTGCTCTTCCGAGGCGTCCGGTCGCGGCGACGGCTCCAAGGCGTCCGGGCGCGGCGACGGCTCCAAGGCGTCCGGGCGCGGCGACGGCGCCAGGGCGTCCGGGCGCGGCGACGGCTCCGGCGACTCCAGAGCGTGACTCGCTCCGCCGCAATGGCCACTGAGAGCGCACCACCACAGATGGACTCCTCGGCCGCCGACACGTCGGTGGACGTGCTGGCGCTCTACCCCGAGGCCGTGCGCTTCCACGTCTGCGAGACCATGGTCGAGGCCATCCACGCGAAGATGGAGGCCGGCAGCGCGGCCTTTGCCGCCGTCACGGAGACGCCGCGCCACGTGGCCTTCGCGCTCGAGGTCGTCGGCGCGGCGCTGTCCCTGCCGTGGACGGCCGCGGGCGACCGCGTCGTCGCCAAGGCCGTCGACGTGACGCTGCGCTGGCTCGCGTCCGGCGCGCTCCGGCCCGAGGAGGACCTGCGCGCGCTCCTCGGCCTCGGCCGCCTCTTTTTATGCGCGCGCGGCGACGGCGGCGACGCGGGCCGGCCGCACGTCGGCGCGGTCCCGGTGCTGCGAATTTCAATCAACCTATTCGGGGATGGGATACGGCGCGACGCCTTTTTTACGACACAACCCTTTTTGTAGGCGGCCTGCTCTTCGCCCGGGCGGAGCTCGACGTCGCGCGGCGCGGCGTCGAGAAGCGTTTATTTTGTGGAGAAGATGCGCGTTTTAGGCGGAGCGGTGCCGCGTCTGCCGCGTCGCGCTCGACGCGCTCCGCGCGGGCGCCGCGAACCGGCTGCCCGGCGCGCCGAGCCGCGCGCGCGCCGTCGCGGCCAAGCTCGTCGACGTCGCGGACGGCGTCTACGGCGAGCACCCCGTGCTCGCGGACGAGCTCGCCGCGGATCTCTTCGACGCCGTCGTCGACGCGTGCCTGCTGTCGGTGCGTCGTTGCGCTCGCGTCGAATCCTCGAAGAGCCATTGTAGGTCGCGGACGCGGACCTGAGCGACGACCCCTACGACGACGCGTGCTGGGCGCGGCTCGAGGCGCGGTTCCCGGCGTGGGCCGCGCGGCTGCCGGTCGTCGAGGCCTGGGCGCGCTGGTTCTCGCGGCTCGCCTTCGCCGTCGTCGCGGCCGTCGGCGTCCTGGGCGACGGCGGCGGCGTGCTCGTCTTCGCCGGCGCGCCGCCCTGCGCACCCGGCGGCTTCGACTGGGGCCGCATCCGCCGCGCGCGCGGCGCGGACCGCCGGCGCCGGCGCCGACGGACGGGTGATTCAACGAGAGGCGGGATTTTTCGTTCGGGCAGCCCGGCGCCGCGAGCTGGGTTCTCACGGCGCGGGGGTTCGACGCGGATTTTTGGATGGCGCCGATCGCCGCCCGAACCGACGGCCAGGTTCCCCCAAACGCTCTCCAATAGGCCGCTGCGACGGCGCGAGCCGCCTGACGAACGGCGGGCTGCGCTACTGCTTCCGCGCGGTCGGCGCGCTGCCGGGTCCCGGCGCGACGGGCGCCGCGCGGCGCGTCGCCGTCGGCGCCGTCGCCGCGTGCGCGCGGGGCCTCTGCTCCCTCGGCCGCGCGCGGGACCGCACGTTCTGCGGCCAGCTGCGGCCGGCGGACGCGTTCCTCGAGAGCGGCGTCCGCGTCGCGCCCGCGCTGCGGAATTTGGCCGAGTTCAAGGTCGCGCGGCGCGTCGCCGGGCGGCGGCCCGCGGCGGCGGACGACGTGCTCGACGTCTTCGGCGCGTTTCTCTTCGACGCGGCGCTCCTCGACGGGCAACCCTACGACGACGCCGCGCGGTGCTGCGCGGTCGAGGCGCTCGGCGTCGTCGCGTCGCGCGCGCTCGAGCCGCTCAAGCAGGCCCACTCGCTGCGGTGCTTTTTGGCGTTCCGGCAGGCGCTGGATCCGGCGACGAGCACGGCGGCGAGCGCGGCGGTGGTCCTGGCGCACGCGGGGCCCGTGGTCACGGGCGCGGCGCCGGGCGTCCGCGGCGGCGCGGCGCTGCTCGCGCTCGCCGTGGACCGCGCGCGCGACGTGCTCTTGGAGCCCGTGGAATCGCCGTCGCCCGAGGCGTCGCCGGCGTCGCCGGGCGGCCGGGACCCGGCCGCGGCCGCGAGCCGGCTCCGGCGCAACTGTCTACGGGTCTTGGCGGAGCGCGCGCCCGACTTGTTGCGGGACAAGGTCGTCGCGAAGCGCGTGCGCGACGCGCTGTCGGAGGCGCTCCAGTCCGAGGCGGAGCCGCGGAACGCGGCGCTCGTGCTGAAATGCGTGAGCCTCGCGGCGCGCGAGTCGCCCTACAAGGCGCTGCCCCTCGTCCTCGACGGCGTGCTCCGCTGCAAGGGGTCGCTGCCGGGCGCGAGGCCCTGCTGGCGGTCGCTGCCGGCGACGGTGGCCTACATGGGCCTGCTGGAAGATCTCGGTTTGCTGGCGCGGGGCGTCGACGACGGCCGCGAGGAGTCGACGGTCGACGCGGCGGCGAAGAAGAGCGACTGGTTCGTCAAGGTCGCCGACGAGGCGCTGCCGGACGCCGTGCTGAAATCAAATATTCAACACGACTTCAATGTGCGCGTAATCGAACGGTTTGGACCAGATTCTTCAGCTGTGCTTCGGGAACTTGACGAGAGCAATCGATCCGTCCAAAAGTCAGCCTAATCGACTTCGATTTGACCGAGCTAGAGAATTTCAAAGTTGGGATAAGCCAGCTCACTGTTTGATTTCGGCACAGGCCGGACGTCTGCCGCGAGGTGACGGCGCTCCTGGACCTGGAGCCGTCGTCGGCGGCGGCGTGGTTCGCGAAGCGCGGCGAGAGCTCGCCGAAGCCCGGGGACCGCGTGGGCCCCGCGGAGGACGACGGCGCGACGGCGGCGGCGGCCGCGCGGGCCCTCGAGGCCTGGGTGCTCGACGCGCCGCCGCCGGCGCGCGCGAAGAGCGCGGCGAGCCTGCTCGACGTCGCGCTCCGGGGCGCCGCGGTGCACGCGGACCTGTGCCGGCGGCGCCGCGACGGCGGCGACCGCGCGCTCCAACACGGCGTCGCGGTCCACCGCTACGACGTCGCGGAGCGCTGCGCGTCGCTGTTGGACCCCCTGCTCCGCGACGGCCGCCGCGTCGCCTGCGACGCGCCCGACGAGGCGCTGGCGGCGGCGGCGTGGCCGGGCGCGGCGCTCGCGGCGCCCGCGCGCTACGCGCTGGGCCGCTGCGGCAGCCTGCTGTCGGTGCTCGCGCCCGCGGGGCCGGGCCGCGACGGCGACGACTTCCTCCTCGTGCACCGCGGCGCCCTCGGCAAGACGGCCTGGCGCCTCACGGCGGAGGACGGCGACGAGCCGGATGCTTCCGCGGAGGATGACGGTGACGAGCCGCCCACGGCCACGACACCAGACGCCGACGCGTCGTCCGACGACGAGGGCCCGGAGGCCGACGACGCCGCGCTCCTCGCGGACGCGAGCGCCGCGGCCCTCGCGGACGCGCCGCGCGACGCCGAGGCGCCCGCGCCGGCGCACCCGGGCGCCATCGTCCGGAGTCGCCGCGCGAAAAAGAAAACCGACCGCCGGTCGCCGCACGGCGCGGCCGCGGTGCTCGGCCTCTTCGCGCCGGGCACCTGGGCGAGCGGCGCGACGCCCCTGAGCGGCGGCGACGACCTCGACGCGGCGCTCGACGCGCTCGACGCGCTGCCCGCGCGCGACGCGTTCGGCGTCGCCGTGCTCTGCCTGTCCGGCGACGGCGACGGCGGCGCGCGCTACGCGGACGGCCCGGAGCCCGGCGACGAGCTCTACGCCGCCTTCCTCGCGGGCCTCGAAGCCGCGGCGCGCGGCGACGTCGACGGCCGCGCGGCGCTGGTCGTCCGCGCCGCGGCGCCCGACGACGGGTCGCCGCGGACGGGGTCGCCGAGCTCTCCCCGAGACTCGCCGAAGGCCGCGCCCGCGGCCTCCCGGCCGTCCGTGTCCTTCTTCGCCGGCGAGAACCCCATGGCCGGCGGCGCGTCGCCGCGGACGCCGCGGGACGCGCCGCCGGCGCCGCCGGCCGACGCGCCGGACACGTGGGCGGCCGTCGTGTGGAACCGGTCGCCCGCTGTGTGGAAATCAAATCTTCAACCCGACTTCAATGTGCGCGTATGCGACAATTTTGACGCAATCTCTTCGGATGTGCTTCGAGAACCCGACGAGAGCAATCGATTCCTCCAAAAATCAGCCGAATCGACTTCGATTTGACCGAGCTAGAGAATTCTCAAGTTTGGTCGGGACCACCCAATCCAGTGGTTGAATTCCACACAGGTCGCCCGCGCTCGCGCCGCCGCCCCACGACGCGCTCGAATGCGCGCGCGTCGTCGTCTCCCTGGCGCCCCTCGACGACGGCGGCGACGAGCCCGCCGCGCGCGTCGCCGTCGACGTGCGCGCGCCCGACCGCGACCGCGGCGGCGGCGACGACGCGGACCGCGACGCGCTCTCCGAGCTCTTCCCGGGCCCGCTGCTCGACGGGTCCGTGCAGCCCGCGGGGAGCCTGCCGCAGCTCGTGCGCGCCTGCCTCGTCGCGCTCCACACGCACGTCGTCCCCAACGCCGCGCGCGACGTCCGCCGGAAGGCCATCGCCGCGGTCACGGCCGCGCACGCGGACGCGGAGTTCCCCTCCTGCCTCCTGCGCGCCGGGGGCTTAGATTAGGCGGCTCTTCCGAGCGCCGTGTTACACGTCCGCCGCCGGCCGCATGTTCCGCTGCTTGCTCCCCGGGCTCAGGTCGCGCGCGGCGACGACGGACCGCCGGCCGACCATGCCGCCCCCGAAGGGGCTCGCGCGGAGGCCGTTGCCCACGGTCGTGGGCCGGTGGAACGCCGTCGTCGGCCGGCCGTGGGCCGCGCGCTTCTGCGCGAGCGACTGGCGGCCGCCGTGCGCGGCGACGGCCGACGGCGACGGGCCCCGGTCGGCGCCGAGGCGCGCGTCCATCTCCGCCGCGACGGCGCCGCGGATGAGCGTCGCGAGGTCGTCGAGGTTGACCTTGGCCGTGCGCGGCTTCTTGGCCCGGTCGAAGGAGCCGCCCCGCGGCTCCTTATTCGGCGACTCGGGCTCGGACTCGGGCCGCGGCGCGTCGAAGGACGCGGCCTTGGCCGGCGACTCCGGCCGCGCCGCGAGGGGCTCGAGGACGGCGGCGCCCGTCGCGGCGAAGCCCGGCGGCGCGTCGCGGGCCGCGGGCGAGCCCAGGGGCGACCCGCCGCCGAAGGGGTCGCCGGCGCCGGCGCCGCCGAGGGGCGGGAGCCGCGCGGGCGCCTTGACGTCGGCCTCCTCCTTGAGCTCGGCCTCCGGCTCCGGCTCCGCGGGCGGCGGCGCGAGGATCGCCGCGCCGAGGTCGCCGAGGCCGGGCGCGCCCGCGTCGTCGGGCTCGAGGGCCCGCGGCGCCTGCTCGGGCGTCGGGATGCGCTTCTCGCGCCCCGAGCGCGCCGCGCCGTTGTCGAGCCTCTTCTTCTCGCCCTTCAGGGGGGCCAGGTCCGCCTTCGCGCGCTGGGGCGACGGCTCGCCCTCGAGGCGCATCTGGCGCGGCGTCTTCCTCGGCGCCTGCATGGACTCGCGCGCGAGCTTGAAGAGCTCGTCGTGGGCCGTCGCGCGGCCCTCGAGGCGCGACTTGTTGACGGTCATGACGAGGCGCTTCATGGCGCGCTGCATGCGGTAGAAGAGGACCGCGAGGCGGATCGCGTCCTCGACCTCCGGGTAGTGGCCGCCGTCCAGGATGTCGTAGAGCGAGTCCTGGTGGAGGCTCATGATCTCCGCGTAGGTGAGGGAGCTGCCCATGTTCACGGACGCGAGCTCCAACGGCACGGCCAGGCCGACGTCGTCGCGGAGCACGAAGTCCAGGCCCCAGACCGCGCCCTTGGACACGGGCCGGCCGTCGCGCGCGACGATGCCGCTCTCGAGGATGCACAGGCTCTTGGCGATCTCGTAGGCCTCGAGGGGCGCGAAGAGCTGGTGGAGGAGCGACTGGGACATCTCCGCGACGAAGCCCTCGTTCACGGTCTCGACGTACGGCGGCGAGAAGTACCAGGTCCGCGCGAGCCAGCCCCGGTGGTTCGCCTTGGCCGCGACGCCGCGCAGGGCGAGGCTCATCTGCTGCTCCAGGCCCCGGTAGTTGGCCGCCTTCTGGAGGTGCTTCGCGTTCTTGACGAACATGCGGACCTTGCGGCGGAGCGCGGGCTGGAAGTGGCGGTCCTTCATCATCGCGTTCATCTCGTCCATGGTCTGCTTCCACTGGACCTCGTACATGTCCATGGTCGCCAGCGTCGCGCAGAAGGAGCCGATGGTGTAGGCCCAGAAGAAGGAGCCCAACAGCATGAAGAACGAGCTCAGGATGAACTCGCCCAAATTCACGGCCGCGATGTCGCCGTAGCCGATGGACGTGAGCGTGTAGATGGAGAAGTAGAGCGACGCGCAGTAGCGGTGGAGCATGGACTCGGGCCGGAAGCCCCGCGTGCCGTCGATGGGCGACTCCTTGACGAGCTCGAGGTGCTTGACCCACGTCCACGCCTCCGCGTCGCTCATCGTGTCGATGAGGGCCCAGCCGCAGGCCATCCAGTGGGCGACGAAGACGATGCCCAGCGCGAAGGTGTACATGGAGATCTTCGCGTAGGAGATGGCGATGGACGACTCCCAGCGGGCCAGCGTCCGGTTCGCTTTCAGGACGCGCCCGAGCTTGAGGAGCTTGAGGAGCTTGATGAGGCGCATGATCTTGAGCTTCGACAGGCCGTCGAGCAGGTCGAAGGGGATCACGGAGACCGTGTCGATCCAGAACCAGCCCCGGAGGTAGTGCCGCGCGATGAGCCGCCGGCTCCGGATGACGAGGGACCCGCGCGTCTCGTCGACGTAGGGCACGAAGAACTGGACGCCGATGTCCTTGATGAAGACCAGGTCCACGATGCGGTTGATCCACCAGATGGCCCACTGGCGCGGGTTCCCGCCGAGCTGGCGCGTGAAGCCCACCTCGACGGGCGTCACGATCGCCGTGAAGAGCAGGAAGAACGTCGTGATCATGTCCCAGCGCGCCATGTAGTCGCCGTTGGGGTCGAGCACGGACCCGGACTGGCGCTTCAGCATGCGCCGCGTCTTCTCCACCTCCTCGAGGACGCTGCCCACGGGCGCCCCGCCCTGGTACTTGCGGTAGAAGGACATCCTCTTGCGCCAGCGGCTTTCGAACCTGGACCGCCGATATCGCGTGCTCTCGGAGACGTCCTGGTCGCCGTCGCCCGCCGCGACCGGGCTCGAGCGGCAGAGGACCCCGCCCATGCCGGCCGTCGCCCGCGGGCAGCACGAGATGCTCTCGCAACACCTCGTATAGCACGCCTCTCTTCTGCCCAAGATTTGATCTAAGATCCGGCAGTTGTAAACATCGGCCTCGGTAACATTACACGATTGTGCGCCCGTTGGAGGGATCTGGCACCGCGCGTCGCTCTTATGGCCTATGCGATGAAGCCGCACTTGAGCAGGAACGCGAGGAACGCGTCGAGCTCCTTGTAGATCCGGAGCGCCTGGCCCGTCTTCGAGAACCGCATGAGCTCGAGCCACTCGGACTTGATCGTCGCGTGGCGCTTCCGGCTCTTGAGCGACGAGAGCAGGCGGCCCAGGTCCGAGTCGCGGGACCCGTCGAACTCGAGGAACTGCTCGCCCAGCGCCGTCATCTTGTAGCCCAGGGGGTTGAGCCCGGCGAAGAGTCCACCGCCACGGACCGCGAGCGCGCGCGAGGTCGCCGCGCGCGGACAGCGTGGCGCGTCCAGCGCCGCGTCGACGGGCGCGCCGCGTCGAGCGAGTGCGAGCGTCGTCGGTCTTGCATGCGCCGCGGCGGTGCAAAACACGAGCAGCCGCAGCAGCGTCATTTCGTTCGTGAGGGCTGCTGCCCCGGCGCTGCTGCTGCTGCTGCCTGCAGCGCTGCGGCTCGTCGTGTGTTTGCTTGTTGTCTGAGCGCTGCTGCCGCGGGCTTCTGGCGAGATGGGCTGCCCTCTGTGATCGCAGCCTCGCGCAGCCGGCTCGGCACGGAGGCCTCGGCCGCTTCAAGTTCAATCCGGCCGGCTGTAGCACTTTGCGATGCCCTTCGAAGGCTTCGCGAGAAGGATGCGGGCAAGAACGTCGCTGCGGGTGCTCTGCATTCTGGCGCCGCTCGCCGGCGGCCTGCGGCCGTCCACATTCTTTCTATCGCCGCGCAATCCGCGAAAGCCGGTGCCGGTGCTGCGCGGCGACCAGACGGTCCTCGAGCACATCGCCGAGAACCCGACGATGCACGCGTCGCGCGAGGTCGTCGTCGACGCCACGTCCACCGTCGCGGAGACCGTGGCGTCCATCCGCGCCGCGGCGGACCGCGTGAGCGAGGTCGGCCGCGTCTGGGTCAGCACCGGCGGCGCGATCTCCGGATACGTCGGCGCGTCCGAGCTGCTGCTGGCCGCGCCGGACCACGGCATCGCGGGCCTCGCCCAGCCCACGGAGACCGTCCTGCGCGACGACGAGTCCCTGGACGACGCGCTCTCGCGCGTCGTCATGCTCGGCGGGTCGGGCGCGCTGCCCGTCGTCGACGGCGACGGCGCGCTCGTCGGCGCGCTGACGCCGAGCGAGATCATGGTCGAGCTCGAGCGCGACGCGACGGAGGACGTGTCGCGCATGGCGGGCACGGGAACGACGGAGTCCTATTTCGGCGCGAAGATCCGCGACCTCGTCGTGAGCCGCGGCGCCTGGCTCCTCGCGCTCCTCGTGCTCCAGTCCGGGTCCTCCGTCGTCCTCACAAAGTTCTCGGCGCTCCTCGAGAAGCATTTGGCGCTCGCGCTCTTCCTGACCATGTCTTTCCTTTCCGCGGCGTCCCTTATCGAAGCGCGCGCGTACCCGTTTTTTTTATTAGGCTCACGGGCACGGCGGGCAACGCGGGGAACCAGACGTCGGCGCTGGTCATCCGGGGCCTCGCGACGGGCGAGATCGACGCGCGGCGCGACTGGCGGCGCGTGCTCTTCCGCGAGGCCAAGGTCGCGGCGCCGCTCGCGGCGATCCTCGGCCTCGCGTCCTTCGGCCGCGTCGCGACGGCGCTGGCGGGCGCGCACGCGGCGCGCACGGCGCTCGTCGTCGCGACGGCCATGACGACGACCGTGGTCGCGGCCATCGCCGTCGGCGTCGGCGCGCCGCTGTTGCTCGAGGCCGCGGGCGTCGACCCCTGCAACTGCGCGTCGCCGGCGCTCGCCACCGCCGTCGACCTCCTGGGGGTCGTCGTGCTGTGCTCGTTGGGGAAGGCGCTTCTTCCGCTGCCCGCATAATTCGGTCGTGGTCACCTGTCTGTAGGGATATGTCGCTGCGTCGCGACCTGTGTGACGATGATGCCGGAACTGTTGGCCCGGCGGCATCGTGCAACGTCCCACAACTCGGGAAATCCCGACACGACTCGATGCTGCCCAGCATCATGATGGCAAAACCAAAACAAGGCGATCTCGACGCCAGCCCGCAAGGCGATCTCGACGCCACCCCGCAACAACAACACCACCAGCTCGATGGCCAAAGCCGCCCGCCGCGTCCTCGCCCTCGGCCTCGCCGCCGCCGCCGCCGCCGAGGACTGGCAGGACCGGATCGCGCCCTTCGACTGCGACGCGCACGACGGCATCGTCCACTTCCACTCGGGCTCCACCCCCGCGGCGACGTGGTACGTCTCCGAGGTCGACCCGGACACGAACGCCGACCGCGGCCGGCTCTTCGAGGTCGCCAACGCCGGCGGCGAGGTCGTGAACGCGCTCGCGCTCCGCGAGACCGGCGCGGGCGCCCACTACGTCCTCGCGGCCCTGGGCGACGCGACGGAGACGCGCCTCTGCCGCTTCGGCGCCGACGGCGCCGCCGGCGGCTGCTGGGACGAGCGCCTCCTGGGCAGGTCGCCGGACTACCGGGTCAACGTCGCCGCCGTCGTCGACGACGTCTACTTCTACAGCTTCAATCTCGGCGACGAGTACCGGGCCTACAGCGCGCTCCTCTCCCTCAAGGGCCTCGGCGGCGCCGCGGCGACCGCGGGCCCGGTGATCGAGGTCCGGTCCGCGCTCTTCGACCTCAACGTCGTCGACGTCACGCACGTCGTCGAGGACGGCGCGGAGCTCGTCGCCGACGGCGACCCGCGCGGCCGCTACCTCGTGGGCATGGACTGGTCCCGTAGCCTCTTCGTCGCCCGCGTCGGCGCCGACGGCGACGTCGACGCCTACGCGGTGCTGCCGCGCGCGGCCTCGGCGATCGCGCGCGGCCCGTCGGGCGCGGCCTACACGGTCGGCTCCGGCGCGGCCACGCGCGTCTTCTTCGCGGTCAACGGCCAGTCGACGACCGTCGAGCTCGCCTTGCCCGTCGCCGTGCCGGAGGGCTGCTGGAACTCGGTCGCGGCCGCGTACTCGACGCACCGCGCGTGCGCCGACGCCGACGCGGACTACGTCGACCGCGCCGCGTTCCCGGACAACTCCCCGAACACGGACGGCCTCTCCTGCCACCCGCGCCTCGTCGGGGGCGCGCCGTCAGCGCCGCCGACGTCGGCGCCGACGGCGTCGCCGACGGCCGCGCCGACGGCCGCGCCCTCGTCGGCGCCCTCGGCGTCGCCGACGGCCGCGCCCTCGTCGCCGCCCTCGGCGTCGCCGTCGGCGGTGCCCTCGTCGCCGCCCTCGGCGTCGCCGTCGTCGCCGCCGACGGCCGCGCCGTCGTCGCCGCCCTCGATGCCGCCGTCCTCGGCGCCCTCGGCGGCGCCGTCGTCCGCGCCGTCCGCGGCGCCCTCCGCGCCTCCGTCGACCGCGCCTTCGACCGCCCCGTCCGCGGCGCCGAGCCCTGCTCCGAGCTCAACGCCTTCCGCGGCGCCGACCTCCGCGCCGTCGTCCGCGCCGTCTGCATCGCCTAGCGCCGTGCCCGCGGCGGCGCCTTCGACCCAGCCCTCGTCCGTGCCCACGGGCGCGCCCTCGGCGGCGCCCTCGGCCCGGCCGTCGTCGGCGCCGACGGCCGCGCCGTCGTCGTCCGCGCCGTCGTCGGCGCCGACGGCCGCGCCCAGCGGCGCCCCGTCGGGGGCGCCGACGGCCACGCCGTCGCCCGCGCCCGCGCCGGAGCCGACGCCCGCGCCGACGGTCGAGCCGACGCCGGAGCCGACGGTCGCGCCCGGAAAGCCGTCGGGGGCGCCGGTCGTCGCACCCACGCGCGCGCCGACGACGACGGCGCCCACGCCGGAGCCGACGCCCGCGCCGACGGTCGAGCCGACGTCGGAGCCGACGGTCGCGCCGACGCCGCCGCCGACGCCCGAGCCGACGCCCGCGCCCACGCCCGCGCCCACGCCCGAGCCCACGCCTTCGCCGACGCCCGAGCCGACGCCCGCGCCCACCGGGGGCACGCCCACGCCCACGCCCGAGCCGACCGCGGCGCCGACGCCCGAGCCGACGCTCGCGCCCGGCGCGCCGACCGCGAGGCCCGCGCCCGCGCCGACGCCCGCGCCCTCCGCGGCGCCGGCGCCCGCGCCGGCGCCCACGCTCGCGCCGTCGGCCGCGCCGTCGGCCGCGCCGACGCCGGAGCCCTGGGAGGCCTGCTCCGGGTCCGACGTCGACCTGCGCATCGAGGGCGCGCCCCTCCTGGCGAACAACCTCGGCGGCCTCGGGCCGAACTTCGGGGAGCCGCCCGTGCTCCGCTACGGCGCCGTCGCCTCGAAGGACGGCCGCGCCGTCGACCTCGTCGTCTCGGTCCGCGACGGCTCCTACGCGGTCGCCGACAACTACGCCGCCTACCAGGGGACCTGGGGCATGTTCGGCCAGATCAACGTCCGCGACGCGTCGACCGCGCGCCTCACGTTCTCCTTCGTCGACGCCGAGAGCGACGCGCCCGTGGCCCTGGAGAAGTTCTACTTCACGATCTTCGACGTCGACGAGCAGCGCAAGGCCCACCGCCACCGCGAGGCCCTCTGCGTCGACGACGACGCGCGCGACGACGTCGTCCTCGCGGCCGCGACGGAGCTCGCGGTCGAGGCGCGCGGCACGCGGCACGCCGGGCGCGTCGACGGTCTTCGCGTCGACGCGCGCGGGCTTCGCCTGCGACAACCCGACGGACCCCCAGGACCTCGGCGCCGTGGGCTGCGGCGACTGCGACCAGTGCGCGGCGGACCCGGAGGCGTTCGGCGCGCACTTCCCCGTCGACCAGCGCGCGCGCGCGGTCATGCTCGTCTTCCGGCGCCCGCGGACCGCCGTCGAGCTGAGCTACTCGATCCCCTGCGAGGACTGCTTCCTCGAGGACCTCGCGGGCTTCGACGGAGGCCGCAACTTCCTCTTCGGCGGGTCCTCGTCGCTCTGCCCGTGGCCCACGTCGCAGCCGACGGCCTCGGCCCCGCCGACGGCACCGCCGACGGCCGCGCCCTCGACGGCCGCGCCCTCGACGGCCGCGCCCTCGACGGCCGCGCCCTCGACGGCCGCGCCCTCGACGGCCGCGCCGACCGCGCCGGCCGCCGCGACCCCGGCGACGCGGGTTGCTCCCGCGCCGACGGCGGCGCCCGTGGCCGCGCCGACGTCTTCGGCGGCCCCGACGTCTTCGGCGGCCCCGACGACGACGCCCGCGCCGACGGCTTCGGCGGCCCCGACGGCTTCGGCGGCCCCGACGGCTTCGGCGGCCCCGACAACGACGCCCGCGCCGACGACTTCGGCGGCCCCGACGACGACGCCCGCGCCGACGGCTTCGGCGGCCCCGACGGCTTCGGCGGCGACGGCGGCGCCGACGCGGCCGCTTCGGACGACGACCGCTTCGGACGACTCCGCCGGCGCCTTCGTCGCGGTCGCCGGGTTCGGCGTGGAGCCCTGCCAGCTCGCGGCCGCGGTCGGCGCGGCGGTCGTCGGCGCCGTCGGCGCCGACGCGGCGCGGTCCAAGCGGGGCGCGCCCGGCGTCGTCGGCGTGCCGGCGGCCGCGGCCGCCGTCGTCGCGCTCGGCGTCGTCGACGCGGCCGCCGACGCCGTCTTCCTCTGCGGCCAGTGGCGCCGGAGCCGCCGCGGCTTCCCGTACGCCGCCGCAGGCGCCGCGGGCCTCGCCGCGCGCGCGGTCGCGGCCGCGGTCGCGCTCGCGTGGCTCCGGCGCCGGTCCGCGGGGCGCGTCGACCGCGCCGTCGAGCGCCGCCGGCGCCCCACGTACGCGCTACTCTCCGCCGCGGCCGTGGTCGCCAAGCTCGAGCTCGCGCTCCTCCTGCCGTGGCGCCGCGACGCGCGCGCGCCGCGGCGCTACGACGTCCGCGAGCGCTGCGGCCGCGTCCTCCGGGGCGTCGGCGAGGACCGGCTCGCGCCCGCGGACGGCGCCGGCGGCACCGAGAACCCCCTGTCGCCGGGCGCCGGCGGCGGCGCGCCGCCCGCCGCCGACGCGGACGGCGGCCCCTTCCCGCGCGGCGCGCGCGTCGAGGTTTTGGCGGCCGACGAAGACCGCTGGCTGCCCGCGCGCGTCGTCGGCTTCGGCGCCCAGAGGAGCCTCGACGTCGCGTACGACCACGGCGAGACCGAGCTCGCCGTGTCGCGCGGCCGCGCGCGCCGCGCCGCGCTCTACCGCGCGGGCGACCTCGTCTTCGTCGGCGGCGGCGAGATGGCCAAGGTCGTCCGCGCGCGCGGCGCCGCGCCCGCGCCCGCCGAGCGCCTCGGCGCGCCCGACGCGCTCACCGCGGCCGTCGCCTTCGCCTCGACGGCCGCGTCGGCGCTCGCGCAGCTCCTCGTGAAGCTCGCGGCGCTGCTCTGGACGCCCTGGCACGCCGCCGCGGCCGCCGGCGCGTGCACCAACGCGCTCGCGTTCGTCGCGAGCCTGGCCGCGCTGCTGTGCCTCGCCGCGTCCGGCCGCCGCGCGGCCGGCCGGGGGCGCGCGCCCGTCCGGGATCGCGGCATGGAGCTCTGGAAGACGAAGACGCCGGACGCGCCGCCGGCCGCGGCGGCCCTCGAACGCAACGACAGCATCACCATCGTCATCACGGACGCGGCCGCCGTCTAGGGTCGCTCGAGGCGCGCCCCGACCTTAAGCAAGTTCAACTTGATTTTGATTGAAGAAGCCCAGCGATCGGCGGCGCCGACACGCGCCGCAGCGTGCACCCATGCGACAGCACCCGATCCTCATGCTCTTCCTCGCCCGCCGCGCGGCGTCGCTGCGGCCCGCCGTCGCCGGCCGCGCGTGGCGCGCGCTGAGCAGCTCGCCCTTCGACGAGGACTTCCTGCTGCCCAAGGGCGGCGACGGGCCCGCGCCGGCGCGCGCCGAGCGGCGGCCGTCGAACCGCTACGGCGAGGGCCGGCGCGACCGGAGCCGCGGGGGCGTGCCCGCCGAGGGCAGCTGGACGAAGCGCAACGAGGGCCGGGCCTTCGAGCGGACGCGGCTCTTCGTGAGCGCGCTGGACCCCGGGACGCGGTGGCAGGAGCTCAAGGACCACTTCCGCGACGGCGGCTTCGACGTCATCTACGCGTCCGTGTCCACGGACCGCTACACGGGCGAGTCCAAGGGCTGCGGCATCGTGCAGCTCGCGACGGAGGCCGAGGCCGAGCGGGCCATCGGCGCGATGGACCGGTCCGAGCTCGACGGCGCGACGATCTTCTGCCGCGAGGACCGGCAGAACCGGGACCGGCGCACGGGCGACAACTCGGGCACGCGGCGCGACGAGCCGCGGGGCGGCCGCCGCGAGCCGCGGGGCGCCGAGCCCCCGAAGCGCGGCGCGTTCGACGCGCGCGGCGGCCTGCTGCCCTGGGCGGACCGCGCGGGCGCCGCCATCGCGCCCGAGGTCCTCGCGCTCCTCGGCGACCGCGACGACGCACGCGCGGCCAAGGAGTACGCGACGGCCGACGCGATCCGCGACTCGCTCTTCGAGAACTACGGCACGAAAATCGACGACCGGAACCGCGAGGTCTGGGCCGAGTCCTTCGGCGACGACGCCCTCGCGAACCTCGGCGACGTCGCGGGCTTCGTCGACGCGGCCCTCGGCGGCCAGGGCCCCGAGGACGAGGTCGAGGCGCTCCTCGCGGACGCGCGCGCGGCGCGGGGGGACGACGAGGGCCTGAGCTTCGACGACGCGGGCGCCGACGCGGGCTCCGCCGAGGGCGTCGCGGACATCGACGTCGAGGCGCTCGTGTCGAAGCACGCCGACGCGCTCAAGGCGGCCCTCGCCGCGGACCGCGGCGACGCGCCGGCCGAGCCGCCGGCCGCCGCGCCGGCCGAGGCCGCGGACCCCGCGGCGGGCGTCGAGCGCCTCGTCCGCGACGAGCTCCAGGCCCTCAAGGTCCCGGAGCTCAAGGACCGGCTACGAGCGAAGGGGCTCAAGGTCTCCGGCGCCAAAGCCGAGCTCATCGAGAGACTGCTCGAATAGTAAAAAAACTCGCTTCGTTCTTCCTTGTCGCGTTTCGGTCGGGCCGTTTCGGTGCAGGTGCGCGACCACGCCCTGCCTGAACGCCCGCGCAGTGCCGTGGTCCGGCGTGCTCTCGCAGCCCGAAGCGCAACGGCGCTCCGAGGCCATCGAGGAAGGCCTCGAAAGTGGCCTCGAGAGCCGCGAGTTGAGGCCTGTGTTTCGCCCGTGTTGCCCCTCCGTACGGACGCGTCTGTTGAACGTGAGAAGCGAGCTCGGCTCGCGCGAGCGTCGTCCCGCGCGCCGTCCAAGATGAAGCCAGCTTCCGTGCTCGTGGCGCTCCTCTTCGCGAGCGCGTCGGCGCTGCGCCTGCCGAGCCTGCCGTCGCGCCCGTCGTTCAAGCGGACGGCCTCCATCAAGCCGCTGCGGGCGTCGGGCCTCTACGACCCGGCGAACGTGCCGAACGCCGAGGAATGCGACATCGCCCAGCCGACGAACTGCGGCGAGCCCGACGGCCCCTTGGCGGGCATCACGCGGACGCTCAACGAGCTCCAGGAGAAGGGCTTCGGCGCCGCGGCGCTCCTCGGCGCGACGGCCGTGAGCCTGTCGCTCGCGAACGGCCCGTCGTCGGCGTGGTGGGTCGGCCTCTGGGAGTCGCCTTTGGGCCCCGCCATCGGCGGCCACGCGCTCAGCGCGCGCGCCTGGGTCAACGAGGGCCTCATGGGCGTCTTCTTCTTCCTCGTCGGCCTCGAGATCAAGGAGGAGCTGCGGCACGGCGCGCTCACGTCGGTCAAGAAGGCGGCGCTGCCGGCCATCGCGGCTTTAGGCGGCATGGTCACGCCCATGGCCGTCTACGCGGCGGCGCAGGGCTTCCTGCCCGTCGCGGCGCGGTCGCTGAGCGGCCTCGCCGTGCCCATGGCGACGGACATCGCGTTCGCGATGGCCATCTTCGGCCTCTTCCGGAGCAAGATGCCCGCGTCGTCGAGCGCGTTCCTGCTGACGCTGGCGACCGTCGACGACTTCGGGGCCATCTTCGTCCTCGCGACGTGCTTCGCGGCGAACGTGTCGCTCGGCTTCCTCGGCCTCGCGTCCGCGCTCACGGCGGCCCTCGGGTGGATCGGCTGCGGCCCGCGCAAGTGCAACGACGCGCGCGTCTTCACGGCGGGCGGCGTCGGCATCTGGTGGTCCCTGCTCCGCGCGGGCGTGTCCGCGGAGGTCGCGGGCGTCCTCGCGGCGCTCTGCGTGTCCACGACGGCCGAGGGGCCCCCGGGCGCCATCGAGGACCCGCTCGCGGAGCGCATGATCCGCCGGCTCGCGCCCCTGTCGACCTTCGGCATCATGCCCCTCTTCGCCCTCGCGAACACGGGCATCCCGCTCATGGGCGTCATGAAGGGCGTCTCCGGCCCCGGCGCGGGCGCGGCCGCGGGCATCGCCGCGGGCCTCGTCCTCGGCAAGCCGCTGGGCATCTTCGGCTTCACGTGGCTGGCGACGAAGCTCAACATCGCCGACATGCCCACGGGCATGGGCAACAACCACCTCTCCATCGTCTCCATGCTCGGCGCCATCGGCTTCACGATGTGCCTCCTGCTCACGGAGGTCGCGATCCCGGCCCCGATCCAGGCGCTCCCGAAGCTCTCCGTGCTCGTCGCGAGCACCGCGGCCTGCGTCGCCGCCGCGGCGTGGATGTCGAAGCTGCCCGACCTCAAGCAGCGCCGCGCGCAGCCGGGCGACCTCTACGGCTGAGCCCCGACCAAGTCGACGCCGCCGCGCGCGGCGAACCACCCGCCGGCCCCCCGCCAAGTAAGCCCTCCCGCCGGCCTCGCTCCGAGGTCGATCTGTACGTCGCCTACTCGGCGCGGAGGAACTTGCGCTGGCCGAGGGCGACGAGGTCGCCGCCCGTGTCCTCGAGGGCGCGCTTGCCCTTGGCGGTCTGGTAGACGGCGTAGAGGAGGTAGCGGTCCTTGGTGCCCGTGTTCGGCAGGCCCCGGTGCCAGAGGCGGTAGTCCATGACGAGCGGCGTGCCCGCGTGGACGTAGTGGCGCGCGCGCTTCATGTGGGACACGTTCTTGAACTTGGCGTCGGCGCCCCGCGACGCGAAGTGGGACGTGGGCACGAACTCCGTGCAGCCCGTCGCCTCCGTCAGGTCCGTCAGGGGGCAGAAGACGATGATGCGGTCCGCGGCCGCGTGCTCCTCGAGGTTCGTGTGGACGCCGTCGATGTGCCAGTTCTGCACCGTGTCGCCCGGCCGGGACACGACGCAGCCCGTGTAGTTGAGGGACGCGTTCTTGCCGAGGATGGCCCTCACCACCGGCGCCCAGGGCCAGTTCGCGCCCGCGGCGACGACCTCGGGCAGCGAGTCGAGGACCATGTCGACGCGGCCGCCGGGCCGCTGGTTGAAGCCGTCGAGCGTCTCCTCCTCGCCGGGCTTGAGCTTGTGGTCCTTGCCCTTGCCCTTGAGCGTGATGCGCTCCGCGCGCGCCTCCTCGAGTTTCGCGCCGTAGTGCTCCGCGACGGCGTTCTGCACCGTGCCGAGCGTCTCGGGCCCCAGGGCCCACTTGGCGCTCTCCAGGGTCAGGAGGCCCGTGTCGTAGAAGCGCGACGCGAGGTCCTTGGGGCCCAGCGCCTTGACGACGGACACGGCCTCGCACGCCGTCGCCTGATCCGCGACGGGGCTCCACTCGTCGCCGCGCGCGTCGCCCGCGTCGGGCGCGACGACGGTCTCGGCGAAGGCGCTCCAGGTCCGCGCGATGGAGTGGCACGCGCCGTCGACGCGGTCCGGCGCCGCGGGCTGCTCGTCGTCCTCCTCCTCCGCGTCCTCTTCCTCGGCGACGAAGTCGAACTCCTCCTCCGAGTCCGCGTCGTCGCCGGCGCCCTGGACGGGCAGCGACTCGTCGTCGCTCTCCTCGACGACGACCTGCTTGCGCTTCTTCGCCGCCTGCTTCTTCTTCCCGGGGCTCTCCGCGTAGGGGTCGAAGTCGGGCTCTTTTTTGGGAAGCTCCTTGGGCGGCGCGCCGCTCTTCATGGGCATGCTCAGGAGCATGGACGGCGCGCAGGTCTTCTTCGGCGGCGACGGGGCGACGTTCTCCGCCTCCTCGGCGGGCGGCGTCCAGCCGACCTCGCTCGCGCCCTTGGGCTTCTCCTCGACTTTCTCGTTTTTCGCGGCCTTCTTGTCCGCCGTCGCCTCCTTCTTCGGCGCCGCGGCCTTCTTGGCCTTGGGCGTGCCCGACGCCTTCTTGCCCTTCTTGGGCTCGGGGTGCACGAGCTTGGCGACCTCGCCGACGAGCAGCGCGAGCGTGTGGTCCTTGGGCAGCGCGTACGAACCGTCGAACTTCTTCGCCGCGAAGGCCTTGCGCGCGCCGCTGTAGCCGCCGTCCTTGAAGTCCTGGCTCATGGACGAGTCGTGGAAGGTCTTCGTGACCTACGTCGGTGTGGGTTTCGCTTTGCTTGCTTTGCGGTTTGCGTGTTTGAGTGGTTTGGGCGCGTGGTTTGTGTTTTGTGTTGTTTCGCGTCGCGATTTCGTGTGTGTGTGTTTGGACGCCGCGCGCGGACCTTGCCGTCGGCATCGCGCTCGACGATGCGAATGTTGCTCATCTCGGGAACAGTGGACAGCGGCGGCGTTCGTCGTTGGGCACTGCTGCTATTTGATTGAGAGGTCGGGCGCGGGGAGCTCGAGTTCGTCTGCCGACGGCCGGTGCCCGCCGCCGGCGCCAGAGGGGGCCGACCACCAGGCATACACCAGCCACGGCATACACCAGCATAGCAGCCGCATAGCGGACGCATAGCGGACGCATAGCGGACGCATAGCGGGCGCATAGCGGGCGCATAGCAGGCGCATAGCAGGCGCATAGCAGGCGCATAGCAGACGCATAGCAGGCGCATACCACCAGCATAGCAGGCGCATAAGACCAGCATAGCAGCCGCATACCACCAGCATAGCAGGCGCATAAGACCAGCATAGCAGCCCGGCGACCGCCGTCGATGACAACCCAGGCGACGACCGCCGGAGGTTACCGACGCTCGCCGCGGCGCGGAGCCCCTGCGAGCCACACGGAACCGGGATCCCCGGGCGCGCGACCCCGGGCCGCCTAGCTACCTGGACCGACGAGTCGGCGCCCGACGAGTCGGCGCCCTCGCACGGTTCGCGCGGTCGCGCGGGTCGAAGCGCGGCGCGAGTTCAAACCGCGCGCGGACGTTCGAGTCCGTCGACCGCGGGCGGCTCGCTCGGATCACGAACCGAAGTCGGCGGAGGAGCACGCCACGCAGGACGAGAGAGACTCGGACGAGCGCACGCCGATTGAAGTCGCGCGCCCTCGCGCGGTTCGCGCGGACCGTCGTGATTTCGAAGTCGCAGCCCCTGGGTATCAGCTACTGCAGATGCACCGACGGACCGGTGCTCGCCGCGAACGGGGCTGTGGTCCATCGGTGGTTCTTTTTCGCGAGGAACCCGTGGGGGACGCGGTCGACGGCGGGCATCGCGCGGTCGCGCGCGTTTCGAAGCGCGGCGCGAGTTCAAACCGTGCGCGCTCGTCCGAGTCTCTGTGGTGTTCTCGAGGAGCGAGACGCACCGCTAAACGCGGAGGCTGCTACACTGTCGAACGCCAGCGACTGGACGAGCGCACGGGTTGTGAAGTCGCGCGGATTTTGAAGTCCGACAGCCCGCGCCGCCCTGTTGTGGGTCGCACGCGGGCCAGTCGCAGCCCGCAGCGCCATCGATCGTGACTCCGACCTTGATCGGCGGCTTCGCGGCGGCGCGGGCGGCCCGGGGCGCGGCGAGCCCAGGGCCGTGGGGTATTATGGGATGGCGGCGAGTCGGCGAGTCGCTGCGCCGCCGCAGCCCGAATGTGCCCATATCATTTAGATATGGGCAGATATAAAATCAACCTAGCAAGGCTTTAGGGCCGCGCGGACAAGGACACGCTCGGCGCCTACGACCTCGGCGAGGAGGCCTTCAACGCGGAGGCGCCGAGATACATCAAGGACAAGTGGGCCAAAAAGGCGATGAAGAACCTCCGCGATTCCTTCGTCAAGCAGCAGTAGGCTCCCGCATTACTCCCTAAGGAGGGCCGGCGCCATACTTCGCGTTGCTCGAGCTCGACAACGCGTTGCCCACGGGCCATTACAGCCTCGTCCGCCGCACGGGCGAGGTCGAATACACGTAAATTCGCGGGTTCTGCGTGCTCAGCAACGACGTAGAACCCACGCAGACGTGCCTCGAGCAGGGCCGCGTCCGGCTACTAGAAGTTGAAGTAGGTATTTAGTTAATCTGAGGGCTCGGCCATCCATGGTAGGAGCGCGTAGCAGCCTAAAGTATTATAAACTATACGTGGTGGGAGCCGCCATTAGCTAGGCACGGACGGGTCGTGTCCGTGTCGTGAGCGCGGAGCAACCGCCGCCCGATGCGGGCCCTGCCGAACCACGCATACCACCAGCATACCACCGGCATAGCAGCCGCATACCACCGGCATAGCAGCCGCATACCACCGGCATAGCAGCCGCATACCACCGGCATAGCAGACGCATACCACCCGCATACCGCCCGCATACCACCCGCATACCACCCGCATACCGCCCGCATACCACCCGCATAAAACCCGCATACCACCCGCATACCACCCGCATACCACCCGCATAAAACCCGCATAGTAGGCGCATACCACCAGGCATACCGGCGGTCAACCCCCTCGGGCCGGCGCCGGGGATCGTATTCAGCTCAAGCTCTCCGGGCGGGCGCGCGCCAGGTCTCGCGGGATGCCAGAGGGCTCTTCGAATAGTGTGTGGTGTTCGAAAACACCGGTCTGGAAGTCGGCTAGATATGGCCGGGTCGTCCAAACAGGTGGTGTTTTCCTGCCCCACTCCGCGCCTCGTGTCGGCGCGGCGTTCGCAGTGGCTCGAATTGTCCAGGCTCCGGTCCGAAGCAGAATCATAAAACCGGATCACACGGGGAATTCCCTGAGAGGCGTTGCCAATGTGCCTCACGTGCGCTCCGCGCCTGCAGTTACAACAATTCGATCAAAAATGTGGCCCCGCCCCCGTCATGGGCAGAGCTCGAGCTCCAGAGGTGAAGCGCCGTCGTCTCGTCCGTCGTCGTCGTCTCGTCCGCTGTCGTCTCGTCCGTCGTCGTCGTCTCGTCCGTCGTGGTCGTCTCGCCCGTCGCCGTCGTCTCGTCCCTCGCCGTCGTCTCGTCCGTCGCCGGCTTCTCCGCGCCGGCTTAGCCGTCGTCCATCACGCCGCCCCGCGGCCGCAGCTGGTAGGCGAAGGAGTAGTCCATCACGTCGGACTGGTGCTCCTCGAAGATGTCGAGGACGACGACGTCGCCGAGCTCGAGCGCGCGGCTCGCGCCCGGGTTGAGGAGCGTGCGCCGCCGCTTGCCGCCGGGGACGACGCCCGTCGAGTTGGAGCCGAACGTCGTCGCCACGTAGGCGCCGTCGCCGCGGCGCTTGAGCGTGCACTGCTTGCGCGAGATGTTCGTCTCGCCCAAGTCGACGCCGAGCGGCAGCTTCTTGGGGTCCGACGCGTCGCTCTCGCTGCTCCGGCCGAGGATGTTGATCGCGCCGAGGGCGTGCTCCATGCCCCGGTCGCGGCGGCCGACGCTCACGAGCGACAGCTTGAGCGGCGACGCGTCGACCATCTGCGCGTCGACCGTCGCGACGTTCGTGATGTTCGCGAGGCCCCGCGGCGACGGCGCGGCGACGGGCGACGCCGACGGCGCGCCGCCGCCCGGCGACGGCGGCGCGCAGCCCGTCGACGGCGCGGCCGTGGGCGCCTCGAAGGCCGGGCCCAGCGGCTCGGCCGGCGGCGGCGCGACGCGCGGCTCCGCCGGCGGCGCGTCGGCCGTCGGCGCGTCCGGCGGCGCCGGGGGCAACGACGCGTCGTCGAGGTCCATCGCGTCCGGCGCCGCGTCGGCGCGGAGGAGCACCTCGCCGCCGTCGGCGGCGGGCGCGCGGCCGAGCGCCGCGGGCGGCGGCGGCGACGCCGCGCCGTCGAGCGCGGCCGCGCCGTCGTCGATGCGCCAGCCGAAGACGCCGAGCTTCTTGACGCCGCCGACGCGGCAGCCGTCGCGCACGGACGCCTTGCCGACGACGGGCTCCAGGGCATCGCTGCGGAACTTCGTCGACGCGGCCGACTTCGGGTTCTGCAGGCCGTCGAAGAAGAGCTCGGGGTCCTCGCCGTCGTCGATGAGCGTCGGCACGATTGCCAAGAAGGCCGGGTCGGAGAAGAACATGTCGCGCAGGACGTCGACGTGGACCTTGCCCTCGTCGGCGCGGACGAGGCGGCTGCGGCACCAGCTCGCGGCCGCCTCGAGCCACTTGGGCGAGTAGCCCTCGCAGTTCCGCTTCCGCTTCCGCGCCTTGGCGCCGCCGTGAAGCGCCGTGAGGACGAGGCGGGCTAAGACCCGGACGCGGAGCGGCCCGACCAAGACGGGGTCGACGTCGTGGATGGCGAGGGGGAGCATCTTGCTCTCGCAGTAGACCTCGACCGCGCGCCACGCCTCGGCCTCGGCCGCCGGGCGCCGCGCCTTCGCCTCGGCCTCGGCCGCCGCGCGCGCCTTCTTCTCGGCCGCCGCGCGCGCCTCCTTCTCGGCCGCCGCGCGCGCCTTCTTCTCAGCCGCCGCGCGCGCCTTCTCCTCGGCCGCCGCGCGCGCCTTCTCCTCGGCCGCGGCCGCGCGCGCCTGCTCCTCGGCCGCCGCGCGCCGCGCCTTCTCCGCGGCCGCCGCGCGCGCGTGCTCCTCTAGAGCCGCGACGATCTCCTCGTCGTCGCGGAGCTCGGAGACGTCGACGTCGAGCGCCGCCGCCGCGGCCGCCGGATCCCGGCGCCACCAGACGACGTCCGGGACCGCGACGTCGAGCCGCGTCGCCGTCGCCGCGTGCTCCGACCAGAACTCGTCCTGCCGCTTGAGCTCGGCCTCGCCCGCGGCGTCGCCGCGCTTCTTCGCGTTGGCCAGCAGCTGGCCGAACGAGTTGTTCTGCGAGTTCATGGCGCGCTCCTGGGGCGTCCACGCGTCGCGCGTCGCTTTCTTCTTCCGCAACGCCTTCTGCGTGAGGTTCACGGGCACCGTCTTGCCCGTCTCCTTGTCCACGACCTTCATGCCGTCGAAGGGGCAGCCCGTCGCCTTCGACGACGCGTTCATGCGCACGAGCTCGCCGGCCTCCTGGAGCTCGCCGAGGTCGTCGATGCCGACCTGCTCGTAGTCGAGGCCCGCGATCTTCAACTCCGTGCGCGTCTCGTCGGCGCGCGCGAAGATGAGCATGACGAGCTCGAGCTCGACGGCGTCCGCGCCGCCGTTCTCGTTGTAGAAGTCCTGGATCGACGAGTGCCGGCCCGCCGCGACGTCGTCGCGGTGCTCGCCCTCGCGCTTGGACACGAGCTCGACGCACTGAAGGATCGCCTCGGCGTCGCCCTTGGCGAGGAGCGCGAGGACCAGCGCCTTGAGGTCGCCGGACCACTTGCCCTTGGGCACGGCATGCGAGCCGAGGTAGAGGTGGAGGATGCGCGTGGCCCGATCGCGGCCGCCCGTGCGGTAGATGACGACGACGTGCCCGTTCTTCTCGCAGCGCTCCTCGTCCTCGGCGGCGACGGCGCAGATGCGCGAGAACCTGTGGCAACGCCAGTGGTGATCGTGGCGCGCTTCGCCGGCTTCGATCGCTTCAATTGCAGCTCTCGAGCTCTCGTCGAGTGCGTCGCGCGCCGCGCGGCCGGTGGGCGCTGGGCCGGGCTCGTCGTGCGTCGCCGCGTCGAGCTCGTTGCGCAGGTCGCCCGGGTACGCGTCGCCGACCTTGCGGAACAGCACCGCGAACTCGACGACCATGGAGCCGCTGAGGCCGAGGGACTCGATGGCGGCGCGCAGCGCTCCGACGGCCTCGTCGCGCGTCGCCTTGGTCCAGGAGTCGTCGTCGACGCCGAGGATCCGGCGTTTGCCGGCGGCGAAAGCCTGCTTGATGTACTCGCGGGCCGCGTCGGAGACGAAGGACGCGTTCCGGAGGTGCGCGACGCGAGCAGGGCGGCCGCCGCTCGACGGCAGCTTCTTGACGCCGGGGCGGCGCGAGAGCAGCGGGTGGACGACGCCATCGATCGCCGACGCTACGGCGGTCGCGAGGGCCACCGGGCGCCCGAGCGGGTCGGGAGTCTCGCGCCCGCCGGAGGGGACCGCGAAGACGATCGTGTCGCCCGACGCGCCGAACCTCGCGCGCGCGGCCTTCCCGAAGAGCGCCGCGCAGGGCGCCCTGACCCCGGGTTTGTCCTTCATGAAGGCGGTGTACGTCCACCCCGCGACCGTGCTGTTGGGCAGTGCCGTCGCGAGGTACCAAATTCCGTCCTCCTCGCTGCCATCTCGCGTCAACACCCCGCCCCGCGTCCCCGGGGAGCGCGGCTTGAATGTAGCACAGTCGCCACTAGCAACGACCGTCCGACCGTCGATTTCGCGGATGGTCGCCATCTCGCCGGCGCGCGAGCGCCGGCGGAGGCTGCCAGCGCCGCGCGCACCGACAAACGTTGGAGGGGAATTGCCGCAAAAGCAGGCGAGCCGAGGCCGACCTCTGCGGCGCGCGCGCGCGCGATGTGCAAGCGCTGTCCGCGCGCTGCACGCCTGCGCCGCGGTGCGCGGCGCGGACCATCGCTTCGACGACGCAACGGCTCGTGCGCCGGTTGCCGCGCCAGCGCACGGCACCTCCTCGCGCACGCAAGCGCTGGACGGCGCGCGGTCCGCGGCGAGCTTCTGACGCTTCCGTCGACGACGCGCCGCTCGCGCTCCAGCTGCTACCGCGCCGCTCGCGCTCCAGCTGCTCCACGAGCCGCCGAACGCGGGCCACTACGGCCCCGGCGCGCCGCCGCCGTGGGGCGGCCCCGGCGGCCCGCCGCGCGGCATGATGGCGCCGCCGCCCTGGGGCGGCAGCGGCGGCTTCCCGCCGCCGGGCGGCTTCCCGCCGCCGTTCATGGGCGGCGCGCCGCCGCCGATGGGCGCGCCCCAGGTGCTCACGCCCTTCCAGCCCGGCCAGTTCCCCGCGCCGCCGCCGGCCGCCATGGCCGCCATGGGCGGCGTGCCGAACGTCGCCGCCGCCGCGCTCGCGGACGATCTCGCCGACGACCCGAGGCCTCGCAGACGATCTCGAGCTCCTTCTTCCAACCCCGGCCAGCCGCCCATGTCGCGCCGCGAGCGGCGCACGCGCCGCAGTGAGCGGCGCTCGCGCCGATGCTGGCGCCGAGGCGGCAGCACCCTTCGACGGCGGCTCGAGCCGTCTCGCCGCCGCGCCGGGTCGCGACGACGCGTCCTCGTACGAGCGCCGGCCCGCGGCTCCAGCGGCGGTCGCCGAGCGGCAACGCGATCGCGCCGCGCCTCTGCGGGACGCCTCGGAGCGCTCGCCATAGCGCGCGAGCAGCTCCGGTCGACGTCTAGCACGACTCCTAAGCTTTTACCAACGCCTTCCCGAGTCGCAAACCCAGGCGTGGAGAGCTGATCTCAAGACCCCCGGCCAGCGCCCGAGAAATCGCGAGGAACGCGCGGACGCGTGCGGTGCGCGTGTGCGAGGCTGGCCTGACGTTGTGCTGGCGCTTCCCGGCCTCGTCGATGTTTATCGCGGCCGCCAGTATGGCGCGGAGCGCGAGGAGAACGTGATGAGCGCGGCGAGCACCGCGCAGAGTGCCAGTGCAGGCGCGCACGCCGCCGGCGGCGCGGAGAAGGAGGACGGCACGTCGCCGACCCTGCGGCCCAGCATGGAGGCCAAGAGCTTGAGGTCGAGCAGGGACCCGCAGCTCGGGCCTCCGCAGGGGCAGAGGGCCGCGCGGATCGTTCATGTCGGCCCGAAGCAGACGAGCGCGTGGCTCCGATCGGCCCGGGAAGGGACAGCAGATGACGAACGCGGCCAACCAGAAGCGGGCCAAGGCGGGCGCGCGCGCCGAAGCCGAGGCCATCCGCGAGAGCAAGGCCGCCGGCGACGACGAGCGGCCGGAGCCCTGGACGCGGCCCATCCAGCTGACCTACACCAACGACCGCGGAGGCGAAGCACGACGCGGGCGAGGTCCTCACGCCGGCCGAGCGCCACTCGCTCGATGCCCCCGGGGCCCGACCCTGTGGCCGCGCGCCTTTTTAGAATTACGACCCCCCCTCCGCCCCCGACCCGTCCAGGCTCCGATCCAAAAACGAGGACAGCTGGCCCGCGACGAGGTGCTCCGCGAGCGCCTCCTTCTCCTCCACGGCGGGGATGACGTCGACCTCGACGCCGCCGCGCTGCCGCCGCCGCGCGGCGCGCCCGGCGACGACCGCGCGCGCCGCGGCCGCGTCCGCCTCGAGGTTCGGGGAGTCGTCGTCGCCGTCGTCCGGCGGCTCGCCGCCGAGGCTCCGCGCCCACTCCTCGAGGTCCGGCGCGGGCCGCGCCGCGTCGTAGGCCGGCGCGTAGAAGGCGCTCGTCGCCGCCGCGCCGCCGAAGCAGCCCGGGTCGCGCGCGGCGCCGTCGTCCGCCGGGCTCCGGCCCGCGGCCGGTCCGACGAGCGCGCCGTCGTCGGCCATGCGGTCGAGCCACTTGGGCGAGTGCGTGCCGAGGAGCGCCTGGCCGAAGCGCGCCGAGAAGTGGCGCGAGTTGCGCACGCGCCAGTCGAAGAGCGCGGGCTCGAAGACGCGCTCGAGCGCGTCCAACGTCGCGCCCACGAACGCGCGGTCGCAGGGGCAGGCGCCGAGCGCCACGCGCCGCACGAGGGCGAAGAGGGGCATGCGGCTCGGCGTGTAGCGCACGATGCCGTTGTGGAAGTAGGAGAACTCGTCGCCGCCGATCTGGAGGCCGCAGACGCGCGTCCGCGGGCCGCAGGGCTCCTCGCACTTTTGAGACAGCGTCTGGCCCAGCGCGTCCTCGCAGCGCAGCGCGCGGCCATCCTCGTAGACGTTCAGAGACATCTCCAGCGGCTTTTGGTCGTCGTCGGGGCTCGCATCGGCGACGAGCGCGGCCATGCCGGGGCTGCCCGGGGCCGAAGTTGTCCTCGCGCTGAAGTGCGCAAGCCGACGTTCCCGCGCCTGCTAGCGAGGCATTTCAGACGAAGCGTCTGGTGGACTGCTGCTGGCCCTTTCGCCGCGCAAAAAATGAGCCGTCCGAGGCCACTCCTGCGGCGATGGGTGCTCCTCTGGGTCCTGTCGGCCTCCCGGGCACTCAAGCTGCCGCCGCTCATCCGCCTGCCGCGCATCGCGTCGCCCATGGTGCTCATTCCGCCGCGGCCCAGGAATGCAAAAGCCGCCGCCGGCGGCACGGCCCTGCGGCGGCGGTGGCTCGCGAAGCCCCTGCTCCCCGTCGCCGAGGAGGCGGAGCTCCTGGATAGCGGCTTGGAGGACGTCGCGAGCGCCGAGGCGCCGCCGCGGAACGGTTCCGAGCCCGACATCATCCTCGTCGACGCGCTCGAGGCGGAGGTCCTCGACGGCGAGGACATGCTCCGCGTCGTCGACGAGGACGACGCCCTCTGGAAGACGCTCGACGAGCTGCCCGTCGTGTCGAACCCGCTGCTCGCCGCCGTCGCGCCGGAGGAGGCGATCGCGCGCGACGACGACGTGCTGACGCGGCGGAAGATCCGCGCGACGGCGCTGCCGCTCTTCGTCGTCTGGCTCGCCGCGCCGACGCTGAGCCTCATCGACACGGCCGTCGTGGGCCGGTTCTCCACGGGCGCCCTCGACGTCGCCGCGCTCGCGCCGGCCGTGTCGTTCGCCGATTCCTTGTCGTACCTCATGTCGTTCCTGGCCATCGTCACGACGAACAAGGTCGCCAAGGCCAACGCGGCGAACGACCTGTGGTCGAGCCGCGCGGCGAAGCGCGACGGCGTCGCCGCGTCCCTGGGCGTGGGGTGCCTGCTGGCCCTGGCGGTCCACGTCGGCATGGGCCACGCGATCCTCGCGAACGTCTACGTGTCGAGCTCCACGCGGGCCGTGCTCCCGCTGGCGACGACCTACGTGCTTTTGCGCAACGTGGCTCTCCCCTTCCAGCTCGCCTGGCAGACGGTGCAGGCCGCGGCCGTCGCGCGCGGCGACTGCAAGACGCCGCTCAAAGCGACGTTCGTCGCCGCGGTCGTCAACGTCGTCTTCGACGTGATTCTCGTCGCCGGATTGGGCATGGGCGTCGCCGGGGCGGCGCTGGCGACGGCCCTGGCCACGGTCGCGGGCTGCGTGGCCCAGGTGACGGCCATGCGGCGGCTCGAGCGCGACGAGATGATCCTCGAGGCGGCGCGCTGCCGCCGTCCGTGCCGCCGCGCGACGAGTCCGTGCCGGACCTGCGGTCGTCCCTGAAGACGTTAGCGGACTCCGTGCCCTTCTTCCTCACCTTCGCGGCGAAGACCGTCGTCGGCGTCGTGCTCACGGCCGCGGCCGCGGGCGCGGACATCGCGGCGCTGGCCGCGCACCAGGTCGTCATCAGCCTCTTCTTCCTGCTCTGCCCCTTCGCCGACGCGCTGTCGAGCGCGGCCCAGTCCCTGGCGCCGCGGGCCCTGAGCCGCGCGCGCCAGAAGCCGAAGCAGGTGTTGCGGACCGTGCTCCTCGAGGGCGCGATGTGCGCCGCGGCCGCGGGCCTCTTCGCGGCCGCGCTCGCCGTCTTCGCCGCGGGCGTCTTCACGGCGGACCCGACCGTGCTGCGGGGCTGCGCCATGCTGGCGCCGGCGCTGGGGCTGTCGCTCGCGGCCTACATCTTCAACACGATCTTCGAGGGCACGCTGTTCGCGTTCGGCCACGCGCGGCCCATCGGGCTGACGATGCCCTTCAACGCGGGCGCCGTGGCCTTTATCTTCCTCAACATCATCCGCTCGGGCCCGAACCCGCTGCTCACCGCCTGGCTGGGCTTCGTCGCGTACCAGCTGGTCCGGATACCGCAGCTCGCGATCATCGCGCGGCGCCCCATGGCGTTCGCGGACGGCGCGCCGACGAACTGATCGCTCGGACCCGTTGCGCGACGGCGCCGGGGCGCCCGACGGTTGTTGCACAACCCTCGGCCGCCCCGCCGCCGTCCTCCCGCGGCCGCCGCCTCCGGCGCCGGCCGCGCGCGCGCGTCCGCTCGCCCGCTTCTCGAAAAAAATCACATGGGCCCCCGGCTGCGACGCCGGGGCCCCGCCACCAAGTTTCCGCCTCCCGGCGGCCCCCGCGCCTTCCGCCCGCGGGCCGCCCACGAGCCGCGCCCCTTTTCTAAAGTGTCCCTCCTTACCCTGGACATCGCTCACTCCTTCTTCGCCGGCGGGAGTTTGACCTCCTCGACGAGGTGCCAGGGCAGCTTCACCATGCGGCCCTTGACGTTGATGACGAGCGTGTCGATGGTCCGCTCGACGAGCTTGCCCTCGACGGTCCGCGTCTCGTCCGGGTGGATGGGGTTGGCCGTCTTCGCGGCGACGTCGTAGCCCTTGAAGGCGTCGAACTCGCTCTGCATCGTGAGCACGTCCGACGCGCCCGGCGACGTGACCTCGAGGTCGTGGCGCGCGAGCACGCGCAGCCGGTCCTCGTGCTCCTCGAGCGCCTCGACGACCGCGCGGCTCGCGGCGGCGCAGTCCTCGGCGTCGGGCGTCGACCCGTCGCCCTTGGTCACGGCGACGCGCAAAGTCCCCGGCTCCCAGTAGACGTCCTTGACGACGACGCCCGTCGCCTCGCCCGCGGCCTTGGCGATGCCCGCGGCCTCGACGCGCCACGGCTCCTCGAGGGCGTCGTCCGTGCCCCCGAAGTCGCCGACGACGTCCTTCTTGCTGTTCTCCTCGACGCTGATGTCCGGCGGCGGCATGGCCTTGACGGGCACGTCGCTGAGGTCCAGCTCCTCCTCCAGGGCGTCGGGGTCCATGGTCGTCATCCACTCCTTGACGTCGGCGCTCGTCACCGGCGCGTCGGGCGTCGGCGTGCTCGCCATGGCCGCGGCGCGCCGCATGGCGCGCAGGGCCGGGCCGAAGCCCAGTGTGGCCGCCGGGAGCAGGAGCAACGTGAACAGCTTCGCCATCTTGCCTCGAATTCCGCTGCACTGCTATGCAACAAAACGAGGTGAAGGCGTCGACGGCTAGCGCATACACAGTTGGAAAGCGCCACTTTTCGCCGCGCGGTATGCTCGACACGCTGCCCCGGCGTCGCTAGCGTCGATGCTCATCGACGGGTCGCTCCCCGCGTGCTCGCTGCGGCGCCGGGACGCCGCCGAGGGCCCCTGGAAGGCCGTCGCCGCCTGGAGCCACGTGGTCCTCGAGAAGACGACCCACGACGACTGGAAGGCGCGAGCAGAAGCCTTCGATCAGCTAAAACTCGAAGCCAAAGCCTTAGCCGCGGCCTTCCGCGCGGGCCGCGACGCGCCGGCGCCGCCGCCCGAGTCCGTCGCGCGCGCGGGCGACGTCGGCCTCCGGGACCAGCATGGCGCGGTCACGAAGGCCTGCTCCGGCGCGGTCGTCGCGCTCGCGGCCGCCGTCGGCGCCGCGGCCGACGCCGGCGGCCGCGACGCCCAGCGCGCGCC